GCCTGCTCTCCCTTGTATCTCACTCATATTAGCAAGGATTTTTCAGAACACCTCCATTTTGAGCTCTTCAGAGTATTGCTGGATGCATCTTCCCAAGGGAAAAGATTATTGCCATGAAAGAAGTATTTTTTAAATCTCTCCAGATAGGTAAGTAATAACTTTTACTGCCACAGGAAAAATACAGCTTGAAAATTGAATAGAATGTAAAAGAATGTTCCCTCCTGTATCTGGAAATCACCTCCCTCACCTGCTGTGAAGATTACTTTCTGTCTTATTTTGATTTAAGTACATTTTCCACACACTGTGCCCTCTCTGTTACACAAGTGCCTTGCAAAGCCCAGGTTATGGTTGATTTATAAGACCTGCCAGCTAATAGGGTCACAAATGGTATTGCTGTAAACCCAGGAATATTTTTTATTTTACTATTTTCCCTAAGAATACTGATTTTTAAAAGTAAAAGTTCACAAATTTTGTGCAGGCAAGAACAAGAAAAAAATTCCCTTAGGACATAACATAGCTGGAAGTACAATTTGTGTAACAGCAGCAGTGGTCTTTCCAACAGCAGAGAAGTAACCACTGCAGCAGAGTGTTTGGTCACATAAGTGATGAAGATTTTGGTATTTTCATAAAAATGTTTAAATATTTTTCAAATTCCTTTCATTGTAGGACAGACACTTTTTCATTTCCAGTGCTGTCCCATCAGTACTAAATCTGCTCAAAAAGGTGCTCAGAACCACAATCTGCTATTCACTCACATTCTCTGGAGGTTGAGTTTTAATTAACTGCATTTTCTGTAGAAAGCAAACAATTTTTTATTTCTGTAAAAAACTGTGGAACAAATTTATCCCATCAGCTGTGCTATATTAGAGAAAATTCCTTCTCCCTTCAAGTCTAAAGCTGTGAGCCACTAAACTGAGTCTTAAGTGTTATGCTTATCTCTACATTTTCAGTCTGAAATTGTTCGGAGTAAGGCCTGTCATACCTTAAATATAGATCATTTTGTGGAATGTAATTTTACACAGCAGTGGAGCAGTATAGCAAATAAAATGTCAGCCAAGAATGCTCTAGCTTTATGATCCTGGATACATGCTGAAGGAAACACACTTTTTTCTTTGCACTCAAAAAGAAATTTTGCCAGCATATGCATTAAAAGAGGTCAACAGTCCTGCAAGGTGCTATTAATGCATAAAGTAATTTTCATGCTGCTTTCACACTTTCTATCCTAGAGCACTTTGAAAACTCATAATAAAGAGTATAAAAGATGGACTGAGAGAAGACTGAAGAACTCCACAGGACAAACGGGGAAGTTTCTCCTGCAGTGAAGCAGGGGGTGGGTCAGTGGCTGGCAGGAGGCACCAGCACAGCCCACAGAACCATGTGTGCCCTGCAGGGCACAGCAGCTCCTCTGCCACGGAGTGCCCACCTCAGCTGGGCACCTCTGCTCTGGGTGCAGGGGCTGTGTCCCTGCTGGCAGTGGGTCTGGCAGCTGAGCCCGCAGGAAAGGCTCCCGGGGCAGCAGAGCAGAGCAGAGCAGAGCAGAGCAGAGCAGCCTCTGTGCCCCTGCCAAGGGAGGGGAGCACAGCGCTGCCTTTTTAATGGGGGAGTGGCTGGATCACCCCATCAAAATGAGACTTTTGGTCTCAACTGCAAAAAGAAGAGACCCTCCAGAAGTATTTAATTCTGGTGTAGTTTCAATGAAAAGTCAGCTGTTTGTTTCAAAATTAATGGACATGTTTTAACACGCTTTCTGAAACACAAAAAATAAGTGAAGAATTACTTTGGATTTGGTAATTACAATCAGTTTACATTTCTAATGTCTTAGTATCTTTTTTTAAGTATCACATACAAACACATTTTCATAAAATTATGTTTTTACCTAGAACAGAGCCTTGCAATAAGGTTTCATTGTGCTGAAAATCCCAACAAAGCAGACTCTGCCTGTTAGCTTGCATTAACTGAGTCTTTGGCTGATATTTCCATGGAAGGTATGCTGATCTTTCTAGTAGTGTCAATAGAATCACATTACTGCTCGAGTCATCATTTTCTAAAAGCTATTTGGCAGCTCACCATTCATCCCCTACAGTTAGATTCAACACTGTTTACAGCATCCAATAAACACTGTTAGTTATATACAAATTAAAGAGATCCTTCAGTGTTTTTCCTAATGTGGTTAATTTCATAATAAAATGCTGTATCTACTTAAAAATGTTACATTTTTTTTTTACTATGAATCTTAATGCTTTATTTGTGATATCTGAGGTCTTAGTAACAATAAATGCTTTTTCTGCTTGATACAAAGAGTTCGGTGGTTTAATTAAAGGGGATTAATTGAATTAACCAAATGAGTTAATTCAGTTCAACCAAATGCTTAGAAAGAGAAGGTTGAAAAGTAGTTGTGTTATGCTATTCATTATTGTGTGAGTGTTCACAACCCACTTCAGCACAAAGTCAGCTGGGTAGGATGGAACCACTGGTGAAAGCAATTAAACTAACCTTGCTGGCTTTACAGTGAAATAGGGTTTAATGACACTAATAAACAGCAGGATAATAAGAGCAGAAAAAAAGAGCAGCTGGAGCACTAACAAAATGAATTATGGCATCACAGCTGAGATTGATAATGAAAACCCCTGGACAGTAACTTCTCCAGCTAGTCCAGCTGTTTCCAAATAGCCATCTGTCTGGGCCCCAAGGCTATTTGATGTGTGGATACTCTTAAATTAACTTAGCAGAGCTCAGTCAAGAAACTACAGGAACAGTGTGATAATGTTGAAAGCTGATGTGATATTAGCAATATAAACTTATACTGGTTTAAGAAAAAAAATTGAAAAGGGGTAATTTTGCAACTTTCTTTGATGTGATGAAACAGCTGTGTGTCCTAGAGTCCTAAAATAAATTATTTGATGACAGGAAAGCTCTGTGAGAGTGATTAAAAGGAAATTTGTTTTTCCTTTTGAAACAATTAGGCAAAGGAAGTCTTATCTCTACATAAGTCTCCAAAACAACTTAAGTATAGTTTATAGGAAGATTAAATTTCTTCAGACACAGGAGTTTTTTAATCAATTCAACTGTCAAATGACACAGTCCACCCTTAGCCCCTATTTTTCTTCATTGCAGCATTCTGAGAATGGGTTCACCTTGTCCTCTGAAGATCAGCTTGTAATTTTCCCCTTTAAGATTTTACATGCATGAAGACTGCAAACTGTGACTGTGTAATCATCTAATGTCATATTCACCCTTTTCCACATTGGTGTGTTGTGAATATATAGGTTTGTTTCTCAGAAGTGGGAAAAATGCATCTCTAACTTTTGCTGGTATCATGGACAATGGAATGTGTGAAAAAACATGCCTTGATAGATGATAAAAATATTAACAAATTGAAAAGAGAGTCCAAGCCACAAACATTAAATTGTAATCACTTAAAAAGCATTAGCAAGCCTGCGAGGTCAATCTCTATCATTATCTCCAGAAATACAATTAACACTGACAGAATTAATTATGTATTACAAACAGAAAAATTCATCTTTTATGTTTTAAATTTATAATGAGAATAATTTTAAGATAGCCGATTTGAATTCACTGTTTTCAGATATTTAAACCCATATATATCTGTGTTTTCTTTTAAAAAGAAAAGATGCCTAAAATTATTTACCAGCTCATAATAAGCTGTAGTAAAGAGGCTATGAAATCCCACTTGAATAAAACTTTGATTGCTTTGCCAAAATTTTCTCTCTATGTCAGTCAAGTCTGCTGGAAGACAATGTCTCACTGATTTTATCTTTTCATCATTTTTGTGCTCTATCATTACATTATTTAATCTTCTAGATCTAAGCTACTAAAACCAAGAATGCTACTTCCCTTACTGCATATGAACACCCCATATATACAAACACATGTAAACACAGTTTTTTCCTGTTGTGATGTATGATTTTGTTCCTCAGAATTAATTAATTTCAGCTATTAAAGACCCCTTAGGCAATTTCAAGGACTGATAAATAAAACCTGATATTTCATAGATTAAAACTGCAACATAAATATAAATAAATGTTGGAGAATCTACAGAACCCTTGTAACAAAGTCCTGTCACCAAAAATTATCACTGTCCTGTAGTTCAGATTGACCATCAGCCATCACAGCTGTGCCAGTGCCAGCAGACTGGAGGGCACCCTGAGCTGACTGCTGCCACATCACTTCCCTCTCTTCTACACCTGAACAGCCCAGCTGAACAGCCTCACACCTTCCCAGGGCTGTGGAGGTCCCTCCCTGCATGATCAGGGCTCAGTCAGCCACAGAGGCTGGGAAAATGCACACTGGCTGAGGAGCCAGGGAGTCCTGCATGAGCAGACACAGAGGCTGCAAGTAATCATCATTTGATGATGATGATGATTATTTGTGTGCGTAAGTGAATGGTAACTTGGCCCTGTCAGTAAAGCCTTGTCCACAAACAGGACAAAAAAATAACACATTACAGTGCCAGTTCTTGAAGCAATCTGGCTTTATTTCCCTTGGCAATTTTTTAGGTTGTTTGGGTTTGTTTTCTAATTAATTTTTTTTTTTTTTAGAACTGTACAGACAAAATTCTGCTGTAAATAACTACAGGAAAATGCCAATAGAATATCTACCAGATAGAAATCCCACAGTCCAGAAAAACTGTACTACAACCCATCTGGTAAAAATCAGCTTTATATGATGAGTATCTGGTAGGTGTCTAATCCTGCCCTAGGAAATACTGTGCCAGCAAATTGTTATAGTTTTCTGAAAATATTGAATTTAGGCCCTATCTTGTATTTTTCATTGCCACTTTCAACTGCACAGGCAACTCAAGTAGAGTAAGTATTGACTGTAAAGAAACAGCCAAGCATTTCCAGCAGACATTACCTTCTCTCTCAGCATTAGTCCTACTGTGTGGCCTATTTTTTAATACAACTCAAAGTATAAAAATTCAACACAATGTAAAAAACAAACCAACCAACCAAAGAAACCCCATAATTTAATTCACTTACCTTTGGCTTCCTGTTTAGCCCAGAATTTTCTCACTACCTCATTAATGTACCTCTCCTCTCTCAGCTTCTTTTGCCACTGACGTAGCTCTTGTACTTCACTATCACAACGAACCTGTGAAAGGGGAATCAGAAAAGAATACAAAAATTATATACTTTTGTGTTATCCAGGATGAGGATACAATTTTTTTCACAAGGCTGTGGCTGGGCAAATATGTGACAGCCATCCTCTCTGCTGGGCCTGAGGTAAAAGCAAAATCCCAGAGGTTTTCAGTTTTCAGCTTACACAGAAATAAAATCCACATAATTGACAAATCCAATTGAAAACATAAATATGTCTATTAGGGAATCACTTTGATTACCAAGGACTCCTGGGAATGAGATTGCAGTGAGATGCTAATTCTTTGAGTTAATTAAAATTTAAAGCCTTATGCTGAAGGGTATTAGTGCCTTCAGAAAATCATAACACTATAAAACCAGCCCACTGACCAAAATCACAGAGCAGAAGAGACACATAAAGGGTCATGCAGAAGAAAATTTATTCCATCAACCTGATTCACACCTGCCATCAGCTGCAAATAGGCTGACTGGCAATCCCACCCACACAATTTTCACAAACAGGAGAGCCATTAATCTGTTATTTAAAGTAATTGGACTGCATTACAAGGTACCTATTCTTTGTCAGTCAATCACCCCGTGAAAGGCATAATTCTGCTTCCACAAAAAAAATACAACAGTCAAAGGCCTTGATTTCATTTAGATGTAAGCTGAATTTTTCCAGTATTGTTTTTGTACTGGTATAGTTCCTACTAACATAGAAGTGAACTAGTTACATCAACAGCTTTTACCACTCCGCTACTTCCACTTGTTGTAAGCAGGATTTGATTAATTAGCAGTGTGCTGCCCATGGCTGGCATTCACACAATTACTGCCTCCAGTGCACGAGGTCCTGTCCTGAACAGCAGTGGAAAGGGACATGCAGCATTACCTTGGACACTGGGGATTCTTCTCTTGGTCCTACGCAAATTGTAATAGACTTATTTTAAAAATGCCATTTCTGGTGTTTGGGATTTTCTTCTTAAATGTTACATATAAAAATGTCACTGTTTCAGGACTACATTTAGAGAAGCTGTGGCTGCCCCATCCCTGGCAGTGTGCAAGGCCAGGCTGGATGGGGCTCTGAGCAGCCTGCTCTGGTGGAAGGTGTCCCTGCCCACGGCAGCAGGGCTGGAAATGGATGATCCTTAAGGCTCCTTCCAACACAAACCATTCCATGATTCTAAGGTCCAATGTCCCAGTAATTCAGTCTGAAGTGGAACAACATGGTAGAAACAAGCAGCAATAAGTTCAGTTTCTCCTGGACACATTTTTGCTTGCAGGAAGATAAGGACTTTGTTCCCTAGAAAATTTCTAAATGAATTTGTATATCTTATATTCTTACAGGATATGGTGAAGAGTTTGCTCTGTGACTTGAACTCTATTATATGCCCTTCTCCATTACCTCTGTTTTTCTCCCACTTTACTAAGACACATACAGAGCAAAAGAGCACAACTTAGTTTTCCACTAGTTATAGAAAACTCCAAACCTTAAAGAAAACAGTTTAAATTATTTATCAAAAGTATTCTTCCTCCCAGGATTTCTCCTCTATGCTGCATCTAAGAATGCAATAAACAGTAGCTGAACTCCCACTACACTTGTCAATCCACTGAGGAGAAGATAATTTGCTATGTTTCAGACACTGCACTGGCAGGGCAGAAATACAATACAAGGTTACTCAATCAATAAAAACAGACAAGACTTTTGCTCAGTGACTTGAGATCAGATACATCTTAGAGCTCCAATAATATTCCATTATACTGATATAGTTCTGTTGTATCTTCTATAAAAGTTATAAGGGCTTCTTACAAGGTTTCTATGAAATTTTAAAAATTAAAGAAGTTACAGCTACTAGTGATACTACTAATAGTTATAGAAAAAAAATAAGGTAATGCTCTATTAAATCCATGCGATACTATTTTCAAATACAAAATATAATCCAAACACAGGATAATTTCTTTAGGCTTTCAAGAGACATTTTTTCTTTTATGCTGTCATATAAGACAGCATATTTGCTTTTATAAGCCAAATAATTCCCTATTACATGGAGTCAGTTTGTCTGCACAGGAAAGGGTTAAGGAAATGCTTATGGGACACAAGCATATAAATGAGAGAAGTGCAAGAATCAGGGAGATGGAGAAATTACTACCTCTATATCTAAATATATAATTTCTGAAAACATGATGTGTCCACTTACAACTTGAGCTGTGTAAGACCTGTATTTTGGCACATGACAGGGCCACGGCTGTCTCTGTATATTGAACATAAAGACAATAATTCTTAACAGTTAAAAGATAAAAGGCAAGTATAGTAGCTTCTGTATAGTCTCCCTAAGCAAATAAAACAGTGACAATGCAGTGAAATACAGAGTTCTGAGATAAAGGCAGAGTCAGATACTCAAATACTCCAAAGTCAGCATTAAATCCAAGCAGTAAAATGAGCTCCCAGAACAAAGTGTCTTTTTAGAAAAGTGACCAAAAAAGGAAAAAGAACACAGATGTGCCACCTGCAGTAAAACAGGTGACAGGAATATACCAAAATACATTAAGAAGTTCCAAATATGCTTAATAGATTGTAGTTCAGCATGGTTGTAATGCAGTTTAGCCTACTGATAATGCCTTAGAAAGTTCTGCTTTGAAACCAGAGTGCAATGCTATCATGATGAAAAAGCCATGACTTAGCAGCAAAATCTCCAGGCAAATAAAGAGAAAGTCAAGAATCTTGTCCAAACAACTGACATGTCTCCTGCAGACCAGCACTGCCTGAAGCCCTGGAGGGGTTTTAGCTTTGAAGGGAGAGTTCACTCCCACACTTGCTGTAAATAACAGGGAATATTTGTGTGACCTTCTGGGTTAAAGCCTTTGCTGGTAGCCACAGCTTGCTGGAAAGCAATACATAAACTGTGATAGCAAAGGTACAACTATGCCTTGCAAGATACGAAGCAAAACTGGTGCATTTTTATCTTCAGCTTTTGCTCAAAGGATGTGTATAAAACAGCACTAAATATTTACATAATGCTGTCCAATTTCAACTCTAAGATATTACAAGATTTAGTCCAAACCCCTGGCTTTCAGTGCTAGGTGAGAACATGTAGCACAGCAGATAAGGATAACACTAAATGTTCACCCCCAGACATCAGAGGAAATTCTATTAATGAAAAATTTCTGTTAGTCTGGAATAGTTATGCAAATTTTAGAGATTAAAAAGATCCCATTTTTAAAAAAAAGGCACTAAGCAATGATTCTGCAGTAGAGGGGTGAAGGAATATATCATATTTTGCTGGAAAAGTGCCTGGAAAATTGACACCCAGCTGAATACTGACTTGGCCCATGACAGATGGATGGAACCTCAATAAAAAAGGATAGTGGAAAGTGAAAAGGAAGAATTCAGATGACAGAGCTGTCTCAAGGCTTACTTTAGGGCTCCTCCTGGCCCTCAGGGCTCTCTCAAGATGATGTCTTCCTTTCTGTGATCTCCTCAGAGAACTCAGCAGCTCTATTTTCCACTGCTATTTGTTCTGGAATTCAGTTCTTGATTAAACTTGAAATAATTGTCATAGTGCCCATCAATGTCTTTGAATGAAAGATTGTAGCAAGGACTTGGTTGATAGCAGCCATTAATTATTACTACAATTAAACAAGTGTTTTCCTGAAATGAAACAAGTGTCTTTCTGCTGCAGATAAGGATGAATTTACTCTTTTGATCATGCTTCATTTGTCAGAGTTCTCACAATTCTGTACCTATAGCTTTTTTTCCCCCTTTATATAGAAAACCTTTACTGCCTGATCCATTTTTGCATTTTTTGCCATGTGTTTTTGCTACTGGCATGCTCAGACAGCTGGAGGTAGCAGAAACAAGTGAAGTATCAAGAGAAGACTGATGCTCAGTCAGTTATATAACGAGCTAAACTCTACTGCCTAAATCAATATGGTCAAGAAAATACCTCAAAAAATGAGTCCACGGAAGATGTGTCTTAGAAGACCAAGGATGAAGTACCTGTCTCTCCATCACACTGTCATGTTATCTGTGTGCTCATGGTTAATTATCCAGTATTATCACACTATGTCAATTTTTATTTCAAAGTTCTAAATCCTCTGAATTATAAAACAAGGTTTAATGGAAAACTTTAGAAAATAGTTTAAAATTTTGACACAAAAATATCTTTAGAATGCAAAAAGGCACTATTTGTAAGTATTCAGTTATTATCAGCTGTTAACATTAAATCAGCATTAGCTGACTGAGATATTAATTTTAAAAGCAAATAATCTGAATTATTTGGTAATTTTTCATAATATACTTATCATTAATGTGATGAAATCCCATTTAAGCCTAGTGTTCCCTTAATCTGCAAGCCCAAGGATAACACACTGCCCTATGTAGTAATTTGGTACTAATGATTTTTATTTTACATTCTGATTGCAATTTTTAATTTTTAAAACCCCATGTTCTTTCACCTCGAATAAGGTAAAACATTAATAGCTAATTTTATAGCCTGAATTATTTTTTATGTCTCCTACCTTTTATAGCTAGAGTTTCTCTCTTATTTCTGGGATTGGTTTAGAATTATAAATACCAGTGTAAAAATCCTGAAGTTCATCTGTGCAAGGCAGGATTGTGCCCTTCACAAGCTTTCAGAGAAGCAGAAGATATCTGAGCAACCTTGCAGTGTTCAGCAAACACAACTGTTATTGGATAATGGCTGCCCCCACTGTAAGGATGCCTGCAGGGATACTGTCAGTGCTAATTAATGTTAGTGTCAATGTTGTCTCTGTTTAAAAAAAGAAAAATAATGGGAAACAAACAAGCAGAAAGAGTCACAAAAATCCATCAGACAAGAAGAACATTTCAAGGTATTTCATTGTCTTTAGCTGCACAGCACATTATAGAAGCCACTTATATATTCATGTTTGTTAAAAATAGTAGAGAATTTAACAGAGAGTGTTTTAAACTGATTGTTATTTAAAGAACACCTGACATCCAGAGATGTCTCACTGTCCATCACAACAAAATTGCTGCTATATCTGGAGGCTACTTAGAAGCTTAAGTTTTGATAAAGGAAGTCAAAGACATTTCTTCATCACCAAAGTCACCTGAATTTCAAGTCCATTTCTTCCTGAAGTGTGAATGCATTAGAGCTTTTTTAAAAAAATTGACAGAACTTGTTCAGGATTTTCAAAATTATTTATTTAGTACCCTAGGATTAGCATGGCTGTTACCCTCCAAAATAATAGCACTGGACAATTTTCTTTGTATTTATTTTATGCACCTTGCTCTTCCCCCTTAAACTGGAATAGCTCTAGTGCTGTGCTGCTATTGAGCCTCACAACATCTGCTTGTCATTTTGTTTCCCTTTTCCTTGAACAACAGCCTTCATGCCTCTCATAAATCTCCTGTCTCATTCTTGGTCTCAGTTCCTTGTCCTTTCTATCTGTATGCTTTTATTTCTCAACAGACCTCACCAATCCTCCTCATGCATCTCCACACTCACTCACATATCCCTGCATGAAGCAAAATAACACTCCACCCTTGAGAGCTACCCAAAGCAACTTTCAGTTAAACAAAGAAAATTGTTCAGTGTTAATTGTACTTTGGAAAATCGAATTTCTGTGGATTTTTTGTTGTTGAGGAAAACAGTGAGATTACATCAGCATAAATGCCTGTGAAAAAATTGAAGTCACTAGGCATAAGGCAGAACAACATCCAAAGCCAATGAACCATAGGGGTCTCAGCAGCTATTTATAGTATCCCCTACTTAAAATTTATGTAAGGATTTTCCCCGGGGCCTTCACAGTCCTACAGTTTTCAACATCAAGCAAAATAATTATAGATTACTCTTACCCGATAACCTCTCCAGAAGGACTGAATTAGTATGCTGGCTTCTTCTTCTGACAGAAGCAGAGATAGAGGAACTGGTGGTCTAGGACTTAAAAAAAAATTTAACAGACAGCTTATAAATGTAAAACACTTTCTTCCCTAACAGTATATTTTATCAAAAAGAGAAATGTTGTTCAGGAGCCTGAAAGACAGTTTCTTATTGCTCTGAAAACACAATGCACAAAGAATGTCTCCTTTACAAATGTATTGATATATACACAACAAGAATTCCTTCTGAAAACAATATTGTACAAATGGCACATTTCTTATGGTCATCTTTCTTCCTCTTCTACATGTACTTCAGACTCCCCCTATTATGGTAAGGTTTGGGGTGGCAGTGGGAGGTGGGCAAGGGAAGCAGTCTGCCATTTGTAAAGCAGGGAAGGTTTTAGCGTGTGTGCAACAATGAACAGACTTATATGTAAATGTTTATTACATGAAATACACAGAATATAAACATATCTTAGTACATTCATTTACATTATGGTGTCACTTTAAATTAAAACATGCTGAAAAATAATGATTATCAAATCTGCACAGCATGAATCCATGTTTAGAAATATTTAAACAAGTTCTTAAAATGCTGAAATTTTACTTTTGATACCATATACACTTTCTTTTGATGATAAAAGAATTAAGTACATTATTGAACTCAAGCATTTTCAGCCAAAATATATGGTAGCTTGAAAGAACATTTGGTGATTCTGTTGCTACCAACTTTAATGGGAACAAGCTAGTAATTAAATTCAGTCATCACTAGCAAAACCTCAAATGACTATATCAAACCTTGCTTCCCAAAAGCCATTTTCTATCGGTGTTGATTTATTTCTCAGACACAATGATAAAAGAAATCATCCATTAGAAAGGACAAAACAAAATTTATTTCTATACTGTCTTTTATGAGAAATGTAACTTGCAGCCAAGAACTACAGAGTAATAACACTGCAACTCATGAAAACACCAGTTCTAAAGAGAAGCCTTGGCACAGCACTAGAATGGCTGCCAAGAGCCACTCTCCCTGCATGGGGAACAGACTGAACACAGCCTTGACTTGGAAGAACACATGATGAATTTGGATGCAGCACCCACCTACAGACACACAGCCCATGCAGGAACATGATCTATAGTATTTTTATTATAAAGACACTGCAAAGCCCATCAATAACAAGCTATTTATTTAAGCAGTCTTACATTTTCTGGCTAAAATGCTGCAACATCTTTTGGAAATTTATTTATGGCATATTACAGCCCAAGCTAGGAGGTTTGACAGCTTACATTTTCCTTTCACTTAATTTCATTCATATTAGTCTCTGCCCTAGTAAGCTTCCTATGCTCTCTGACGTCTTTCTCTTAGGGCTTGTCTTCACTGCAGGAGCATTTCAACTTGGAGCACAGCCTTAGCTCTTATCTAATGCTACACTGACTCCACTGGTTCAGCCTGTGTACTCAGCTAAATTGGTCTCACCATCATGTCAGCTGGGTTTTAGCCTACATTTATTTTAATGTGAACTAAAACCTTGGTCTGTTTGGAAAAGTCGAAATAAGGCAAAAATAAAAAGCAGTCTCTCCATTGAGCTAAACTCTTATCCCTGTGAACACTGATTAGCATTTCTCCTGCTCAGGGGAAATCATAAGTGCTGGACAAGCAAGGCTTCCTGAGATAACAGCTTCTTATAATCAGCCTTAAAAATCTGAAGTTGGACTGTGCTGGTTTCCCTGATAGGCTTTCATCCTCTGTTCTATTTTAGATCTTTTTGAAAACCAAAACTTAGGGAAAATCACAGGAAGACCTACATATTTTACAGCAGTTATATCAAAGACACTGAACTTTCTCTAAGAATAAGTACATCTCCAAAGAACAACTTGAGATTTCTCCTAGCCTGCAAGGTCAACTTTAGCATTTCATTGCTTTCATTTTCAAATTATAAAAATGTCTAGCTTATAATCCAACACTAAAACTGAGAAAGCAATGTAAAAAGTCAAGAAAGAACAGGATTTCCTTTTTAGTATCAGTCACTGGCAGATATCAATCCTTTCAAATGGCACAGCTTTAAAGACCAGAAGTCATGCCAGGTCCAGTTTGGTCTAAGGGAATAAATGGGGAATATACACAATTGTCTGCAGGTCAAATAAAAATAGAATCTGAGCAGAGGCAGTCACCCCTCAGCAGCCAACGAGAGGATCTGTCATGTGTGGCAGAAGACAGCTGGATGCCTGCAAGATGCAAACTGACAGTACAGTGTACACTGAATACATTCTGCTTATTTAGTCCTTGATTATGCCCAATCTTAAAAGCCCACATATGAAACAGTGATATCTGTTGAGATATACATATATTGCTTAACATAAGTTGCACCTGTAAAAGAGCATTAAAATTTTTTTTTCTTTATTATTTTATTTTACCAAATCTGCATAAAGCAGACACTGACCAAAGTTAAATTCCAGAAAAGTGTTTCTTGCCTTCTGAGCAAGCTTGTACAGATCTTGATTCTGTGAGATATTCACTATTCATATGACATTATGAAAGTGGAATTTTGCACCCAGAAGATACAAAACAGACTTGCATTAAATAAATGGAGGAGGCATGGAAAAAGGTTCTTAATGAAGACATGTTTCTGATTTCCTCATGGACAGAAGATGGGGTTCTCAAAGAATTCTGAAAAGGGAGGAAAAGAGCCTCTCCATTTTTTTGTCTCCAAAACGGACAAAATAATCTCTGGGGGTTCATAGTCACAGTGATGGACACTGAATTCAGGCAGTGTTTCCACACACTAATACCCAGAAACTCTGATTATCTTCACATTCCCAATCTGTCTTACAAATAGTCCTGATTCCTTCCTTGGAAACAAAATATAAGATTAAAAATGTAATCAAGAAAACGTTCAGTGTATATAATTCAGGGTTTTGTAATGGCTCCTCCTGCTCCAATCTGTTCCCCCACATTCAAGCAGCAGCCCCAGAGGCAGGTGCCTGCAGGCAGCAGCAGTGCCTGGGGCTCCTGGTGTGCAGGTGAGGGAGGAATCTCCAGGTGCAGCCATGGAATGGCTTCTAGAAAGCTCTTCTCTACAAATATTGAAGCAACCCTAATGAAAAGGATGAGGCCTCCTAAGTTTCAATACAGTGACCACAGCCACATTCACTTCACCTTTAATTTGACTGTGATGATTATTGTTCTTGAATATTTAGATCATGTACAATCACAGGCAATGACAGAGTCACTGAAAAATTCATAATCTAAAGGAACAGACCACAGAATAAGGGTAAATATAAGACACACAAGTAAATGACCATGGTGGTCTGCATAACTCTTAAAAAAAAGGATTCTGAGAAAGCCTTTGTTTTGGGAAATACTCAAAAAAATCATGTGCTGGTCTGAATAACCAAAAAAAACTCTGCTAGAAATTTCTCAATGTATTTATCTTTCATATTTGCAGTATTTCTTATTCCTAATCATAGCATCTAGAAACATGACAGCAACAGCTGCCTTCTTTAGGTCTTTCTTCTTACATGCCTATCCAGATCCCCAAAAGTGTGCAATAATGAAAAAGTATTGTTTTGATACAAAATAAATACCTCAAAAAACTTCTGCTTATAAATACTACTAAGGTCATTTACCCAAAAACCAGGAAAGTGGTGGTTCATAAGCAGGCAGACACTGAAGTACTGATTCATCTGACCTGGTATTTAAAATCAATTACATATATTGATCAAATATTACACAGGCACTGTATGAGCCTCTCAGATTTCCAGGGAAATATTCCCACAGACACCTGACAAAAATACACTGGAACATTTTCACAGGTCAAACAGAGTGTGAACTGAGACTTTTCTTTGTAACATTTTCAGTATTAGTACAACTATCCCATAGTCAGCAATAAATTCCTAATCACTAGTTTTCTTTTGCAACAATCTAAATGCACAAGAATAAGATTATTAGTATTTGAGAAAAAAAAATCCTTACAATATACAAGAAAACATTTTAGTGCAGTATATGGAGAGTCCACTTTTGAAGGATTGTAAATGTAGGAATAACCAAATTTAAACTACTTAAAAGAGGAACTGCAACCAAGTAGACATCTTAAAGTGTGACTCTTGCTAGTTAGCAGGAATCTCAACTCCTCTATCATCTTGTCCATATAAAAGTTCCTTTATACTGTCAATAGTGAATTGAATTTAAAAATGTTATAAATACATTTGAGAATGCTATCAAAGTGACCATAGTGATAATATGCATTCAACTGCTAGACACATACCAACTATTTATATACTTGCTTATCTATTTATAATGAAGAAAAGACAAGACTGTGGAGCTAACATGAGAAAGTTGTTATGTGGGGAGGCAGTCATGTAACCAACAGGAGACTGAGGCAGAACAGGTGATTTGTAACCAGAATGTCAGAGGAATGAGAGAAATCACAGCAAGAAGTCTTTGTAATGAGAACATGCCAAAAAATAACAGAGCAAGAATCTTTTGCCTTCAGTTCTCTCTGAAAGTCACAGTGGATTTCTTGTCTCAATAGGCTCTCCTTGGGAGGACGTGCCCACTTCAATGCTCCAACTCAGCTCTCCTGTGCTTGCATACTTGCCACATGTTTTGGAAGTCACAGAGCATTGCCTCAGCTTTCTCTCTCGTAGGACCAATGTTTATGCAGTCTGTGAGAGTGTCTGTGGGCCTGGACTGAGGGAAACCAAACATGGACCTGTTCCAAAGGCCACTCATCTCAACGGGAAAATTCCCATCTATGTTTGTGTACTTTAGGTCAGACTTTGTATGCAGAAAACATGAAAAACTCCCCTTAGTGCTCCAACAGCAACATTAGGAAGATGTCACAAAGCACTTATAAGTTTTCAGTTTTCTCATTACCATTTTGACAACCTTTACATAAATTGAAACATTTTTAATGCATCAGATATTACAGCCATAACACCTTCAACCCCATAAAGCACCATTACAAAATATAAATATTTTACACAGAAAATTTCTGCAATCTTTCAACACACAGTTTTTAAGTAAAAAATTTCTCCTTTGTTAACCTGAAATCTGCCACATTACTTGAATGACAATTTTTACTTGGAAACACACAGAATAACATCCACAGGGATGTATTTGTTGGACTTCCTGTTATTACAATAAAATGTTATTTAAAGCTCAAATTATTAAAGAAAATTAAAGAACATATAAGGCAAACAAAGCATACTCCAAACATGGCTGGATTAGACACAAACCAATTGAATATAGCAGTGTGCAGAAAGCACAGCCTGTAGAAACTGGGCATATTATGGAAAGAAAAAAAATCAGTCACCCGTGCAAAATTACCCCTACTGGCCATCTGAGAGCTGACAATGAAGTCAACTGTAAAGGCAGCTGAGACCAGCAGACTTCACCCAATTAAAATATCTGGGGGAGGGAGAAAAAAAAATAATCAATGTATATATATGTGTATACAGACATTTGGCAAAAAGCCACTACTCCAAATTTAGTAGTCATTTATATCTTAGCTGCCCACTTCAGTAAAGCCATGATAAAGTTATTTTCTCTGTGTCTGTACACTTGTTTTGGTACACACAGATAGATTAAACCAGGAAATGTGTCCTTCTGAACTGGGTAGCCAGTAAATATCTCTAATAAAAAAGAAGAAAATGCAGATTAAAAAAAAATCTTGTGAATTATTTTTTATCTGAACATCAAAAGCCAGGAAATGCTTGTTCCTAACATAGGTGCATACACTATACACCACTCTCTCTCATTGGATGTAAGGTCCAGGGTTATGTTGAAGAATGCTATCATATTATTATATTTACATGACAGGCTTTTTTATATCACTGTTTTTCAGAGCAGGGGAACAGTGTTTTATTGATTTCTTCATATTTCTTCCATTAAAATGCTAAATAAGGTAGGGAAATTATGCTGCCATGTTACTCAGACTATCTATGCCAGAAAAGTAAAATTTCAGAGGGATCAGAGCATAATCAGAGCTCACTGACTTGCCCTGATTCAGTACACAGAGCTTGGTTACTTGCAACTGAGCTTCAGTGCTGTTCAACCAGAAACACCACTGGAAAATGCTGACAAAAGGCAACTGTGGTGCTCATTAGCATATTTATAGGATTACAAAACGTTCCCAGCTCTAATTCTGTTTCTTCCCTTCGTTCTTTCAGCAGCCTCAAATGGAGGAACAGGCACATCACTTTGTACCCCAGCAAGTGCCCACCAAACGTGTGCTGGTTTTGTGTTCAAATCCACTTTCCTGCCCTCTGAAAGGTGCAACTGTCCTTTAAGGCAACAGAAATGTCTGGCATGTGATATGGAGATTACCAGTCAGCACTGAAGCTGCTCCTTCTATTGCTTAGGAAATCTGCTTGGGGAATTGAAGGTTCCCAAGGGATGGAATATTTTGTCAGCACTACTGGTAACATGCAGAACTCAGTGGAAGACAAGGTACCTATACTAAGATGTCACAGCTATTATTACACTAAAGCTGGAAACAAATTCAAATTTTACAAGCTCCTTCACCTACAACATCTAGGTTTTAAAGGTACAAGGTTTGCCTTTAAAATTCTGAAAACTGATGCAGCATTTAGGTCTCCTTATTAGGGAAAAGTAGGCTGCAAGATCTCATTTAGAAATGCATTGCACAGAAAGTGAAGCTCATAAGACTGTGGCTTTGACAATTCTTTAAAAAAATTAAATTGAGCTTCAAAGAAGAAACTGGAGGCACTGGAGGGGAGCCAAAAAAGTCATACTCAAGTATGGAATATATTAAAAAAAGCTGGATCCCGGATAGAACAAAAACAATAGTCCTCTGGGGTTTTTTTGTTTTGGTGGTTTTTTTAAGCATTAAGACTGCTTGGCACTGATAAACCCATCTAAACAGTTGGGATAAGGATGCTTGCCATCAAAATTTGACCAGCACTTTTTAGTATATTGTCTCTTATATATTCTTGATCCTGTTTAAAAAAAATAAAACTCCTTTAAAAAAATAGAAATGGAAATTACAATAAAAAGCACAGAATCAATTACATTTCAAATGTGCTAGCTGGAAGGATATAACAATAAACTATTTATGGCATATCCAGGACATAATAATAGATTTTCTTTTTTTATTCTTATTTAATATTGCAGCCTTTCATTTTGCTCCAATAATATTTACTTCAGAAGCAGCATTTTTTAAATCATTAATTTTAAGATAAGATCACTAAAAGTAGTTATTTAATAGTAATTTTAATAATTATTATTTCAAGGGCCTACTTGTTTAGAGGATTTAAGATGAAGTGTATCAACTTAAGCAGGACTCTGACACTCCAGTGTCCTTGAGGAGCTGTCACTCCGTTATTTAGGAGCACCACCACTAACAGAAGCTATGAGTCATCCAGGCTGTGATTCCACTGTGTATTTCTCTCGTTGGCAAAGCTGACTTAAGCAGTTCCTGCCACCACCTCTCTATCTTAGCAGCTCATTTGTTCAATTCACCTTGCCCTGAGCCCTTCATTTTAATCCTTTGTTTATGCCAATACACAGGTTTGCCACTCTGCAAGATGAAGCAGACTGGAGAAATGATCTGTTTTCAATAGCTGTACAAACTCTCCTCACATTTTGGCAGAGAGATTCCTAACTCAGAGCAGGGCCCTGATCAGAATAATCCAGCATCCTACCAAACAGACAAGGTGGATCAGGGTGCCTACAAGCAGATTGGGGTGAGGTACAGGAGAGAGCAGGGAACATTTTGTTCAGCTTTACTTCCAAGAGAAATGTTTGTAAAACCGTGATCTCAAAGATTTTATCTTTGGTACAAACATCCATCCTCACAAACCAAAACGGCCAAGGGCTCTCTGTGTGCTTAAGCAATGGGTGCAACAACCAGGCTGCAGCTCACGTTCACTTTACAAAGCACAGCCTTAAATGCGCATCTTGTTGGCAAGAACTGTGTTTGACAGAGTGAAGCAGATGTGTCCCAGCAGAGGCAGGTTTGAACAGCAGCGCCAGGACAGCACGATGGCTGCAGGTACCAGAGCTGAGATGAAATGGGTCATTCTCCAAAGGGCTCTTGTACTCAGAAATGTCCAACACAGCTCTGACCACCTCTCAGGGAGTCAAAGTTAACCCTTTTGACACAATTGTCAGCTTATCCACAAAGACCTGTGATAAGGAGCTTTCCTCTTGCTCCATTGGTGTCTCAAGGTTCCAAGAGTTACATGTCAAGAATTCAAAGAAGTTCAATTTCCACTTATATCACATAACAAAGTAAATGTATCTACAAGGATATTAATCTCTGTTTTCACCAATTACCAATCCAGATTCCAGTTAAGTTTTCACATTGAAAATTTTCTTTAAAATCTGACCTCTGTTAGTTTCTTATTCTCTCACTGTGGACTAATCCTTTGCTTTTCTCACACAACAGCTATATTTTAAAGTAAATGCAGTCTCAAGGACAGTAGCATTTCTTTCAAAACTATTGTGCTGTTTGGTTCTAAGAAAATAACAAGGAATATATGATTGAGGCTGCCAAAAACAAGTGCTGATTTCTCAAAATCATAAATGTCTGCAGAAATGCATCCCGATGCTAAGAATTGTCACAGGTATTTCCAAAGCAGCTGCTTACAGTTAGAGAAGAATTTCTTCACTATACTCTCAAAGATTTCCACAAGAGAAAGCAGCACTGAAAAAACTGTTTTACTCCTTAGTATAAAGATGTTCATAATACTACCAGACCATTCAAATGTCCTTCATTCTACAATTAAAATGTTTAGGAATTCAAAATTAATTTATCTGCGAACAATTCTGGTACAAAATACCTTGTCAGTAATACACTAGCCAGTTAGAAACTGTCACATAGTTCTTTGTTGCACACAGTAAAGGGCATTTTTGAGGGCACAGTTGCAACATATTGAGGCTCTATTACTTTTTTGGGATAGAAGAGGCAAAAGAATAAAAGGAGAAAAAATTATTCTGAGTACTGCAATAACTTACTGGTCCTTTAGCCAGTCCTTAACAAAAGGAATGGAAAACAATTCTGTGAATGACTCATCTTTCCTCTTTGGATTCTTGCTAAAGAAAAAAGGAAAACAACTCATATTAATTTAAATTTCAGCTATTCAATTTGCAAATTAGTGCCTTGGAATCACTGAACATACTTAGTAGCAAAAAACATGATTAACTTACTTGTATAACCACTCAGTTAGAAAATCAGAGGGAATAAATTTGGTTCTTTTTTCCTAAAGACAGAAGACAGTTTCAAATTATTTATTATCTTTGGATTGGTCAGATGTTTAAAATAAATTGACTGTTTTTTATTAAATAAAATATACAGTGCATTACTCTGTCTACTCTTTATTGCTACTGCCAACAGTCAGCGGCTGAGCCAAAACTTTAGAAATTTTGTGGAATGATTTTAAGACAAACTATGAGTGAGAAAATTCTACATATATTATCTTGATGTTTACTGCAGTATATCTAGAACAAAGATCTCTGAATGGTGCTCTAAGTGGCAATGTCATTGTGAAGAAATTAACAGAACTCATTCATACATGAAAATATGTTGGAAATTCCTTGCCATTTTGTTTAAAGTTCTATTATCATACTCAAAATACTTCATTTCTTCCAAAAGACAGAAGGAACATTGATTGGATATTGTTTCCTCCTGCATGGAACCAGCTTGAAGATGCTGTGAATACCCAGAGGCAGAGTATTGTGTGGCTGCTCTGACCAAAGCATCTGCTGGGTGGTCAGGAAATGAAGGCAGAACCAAAGGAAGGCTTTTGTCTGTCCACAGCCACACAAACCATGGACATTACAGAGAACCAGGCAAAAAGTTCAAAACCTGGAGCTCCACAGCAAAACATTTGTACCCTTTGCTCCCAGTTCTCAATCTTAACCAACAAAGAGAATTTTGCAAAATGTTTTGCAGCAGGTTGTCCTTAGGGACTCGTGCAGCCAGTACCACAGAGCTTGCATTTTGATAAAGCCAGAATGGATCAGGAAATCCTTTTTTTTTAAGCATTTCCTCTGACATTCCATCTTGACAGATTGAATGTATAAATGATACAGGTGCTCATTCTGCTCATCACAAACCACAGTAACCATAATGTGCAGAATAGAACATGGAGTTCTGGATGGAATAACAGAGAGCTTGATCAGTGTCTTCAGAACCCCTCTGACAAGAGATGGATGCACACAGTCACAGTGAACCCTAAAAGACACTGAGCCCTGCAGCCCCAGGGCACGCAGTGCTTCATCACAATAGCAGCCACTGCTAAAAAAGCAAGCTGAGCTCCCATCCCAACACTCGCCCTGTCAAACAGGAGATTCAGCTGTAATAATTGCTTCTTAGGAAAACAATTCACACTGGTCAAAAGCTTTTGTGAAACTGCTTAATGTCACAAAAGAGGCTAAAGTCTTGTTTAAAATGGAAGAAGATACTACTACTACTTACTGAGGAAAGTACAATAAACATGTAATTGAAAATCTAATGCACGAAAAATGACTTCATTTTATGCATATCCTCAGATGTGAACAGAGAGGCAGGAAACATGTTCTACATAGTATAATTCTTTCAGTTCATGGTATATGTCATAATTTGGGGGTCAGACACAGGTGAAGTGGAAGAGGAACATCATGTGAGGTGCTGACTGCCCAGGGAAGAACACAGGGCAGTCACATAGCTGGGGATGACAAGTGTGAAGTTTAGTGCTGGACTGCAGGGCAGTCCTACAGCATACCCAGAAAAGCTTTTAATTTTCTAACAGAATCTTACCCTTGATAGAAATATAGTCTGATTCCAACAGAGGGGGAAAAAAACTTCAAAAAAAAAGCTTCAAAAAAGTAAAAAAAGAAACCAGAAGAACAGCAGATGAGATCATCATAAAACAATTACTAATCCTGAGCCATACATGTCTTTATTATCTGCTTTGTGAAAACCAAAGCTTTGGGGTTCAAGTAGGGCTCCATTAAGTGGTTGGCTGGGAAGGAACACAGTTCCTCATGCAATTTTTGCACTTATGCTGATACCAAATGCTGTTCCAATAAGCTCAACACCTAAACTTTAAGAGACCAATACCTTCACTGCAGAGCTTTCTGTGAGTCACTTCAAATGTCAAATGGACAAATCCTGACTTACACAGAATCTGTGAGCAAACAGCAGAGTCTGATTGTGACTGTACAGCTATTCTCAATCAGGATGAAAATGGGTCCCATTACTTAGGGAATTGTTTCAGAGAATAAGTTCTACACTTTGACAACAAAATTCAATTTAATCTAGCAGTTGTAATTTAATCTGTTTTAAGTAAATTGCTTTTCCTTTGCAATGAAAAAAAAAATGATCAGAACAGGGTTCTCAAAACAGCCATCACCAAAGGAATCAAATTCATCTTTTTTTATCCTTGTTAGAGGCAGTGAACTTAGCAGAGAGGAATTCAATCAAGCTGAATATTTTTTATTTTATTTTCTTTGCCAGGAAACAGTTTATTTTGCTAGTGAATTAAATCATTAGTTGCACAGCAGTCAACATTTATAAAGGGAAAAAATTACATAAATTGACCTGCCTTTGACACATTCCTCCTATGCTGCATGAATCCGGATAAAAAACAGGAAATATCTGTACAATGTGCATTGTTAACCTGCAGATGCGTTTATAAACTGTTTATATTCAGAATTCATTTTCCATTTTTCAGTTTAAATATGATGTGCTTGGTAATAATCATGAAAATATACTGGTGATCAGAAGATGGCAAAGTCATTAGGAAACCTTCTTCCATTCCCTTTCCCCGATCCATCATAATTTTAAATATATTCCATTACAGGGCCTGATACAGCTTCCTCCTTCTATGATAGCTAACTAGAAAGAAAAGTCAGAGTTATTCTAATAAAAACATTTATACATTGTTCAGTTTAATGCTGAAAAATGAATGCATTAGTCGGTTCTCATGGAAGGAAAGATTTAAGAAAATCATCTTTTCCCTGTAGGCATTTGACAGCAGATGGGATAAAACACAAGAGAACTTATGGTGGGGAAAAAAAAATCAGTGAGGGAATACATTGGGCAACCTAATAGGTTTCTTTCACCTCTAATTTAAAAATTAAGCTTCTGCAGACTGTTCTCATATTTATGTCAGTTTGAAGTCTGCACATACATCTAGCAGCTGGTGGTTTTTCTAGGCTTTAGCTTTTCGGATTTTTTGTATGCATCACATAATGCAAGAGAGCCTGTTTAAATTGTTGTGTTTCTTTACCACCTTTCAAAAAGATCTTTCCTACACAAATCCCTGCTTCCAACATAACCATTTCCCTTTCCTGACTTCCCCATGTGATTGTACAATTCTTCCTCTCCAGACATGGATGCACCTTCTCTGGTCTCTGAATTCCCCTGTTGGCCCCAGGATCTGACTTCCTTAATACAATTTCAATTGCCCAAAAGCTCTCCTATTTAACTTTTCCTTTTCTTCTCATTCATCTTAATTTCCTTTCAAAACATGAAAACCTTTAGTCCCTCTCATCAAAATCCCACTCTTCATTCTCTCTCACCATTCCCCCTCTCTTCTCCTGGGCTCTTTCACCACTGATTGCATCCAGTCTGAGTATTCCCCCCTTCCTTCCAGTGCTTCTTCCATTTATCTTCCACTGGTTTATTCTGTACCACTGCCCTTTTCAGGCTTTAGTGACCCATGTCTAGCCAGAATTCAAACCCAGTATACTTTTCTCATCCTTCATCATTTCTGCTGGCTTCACTACAATTAATCTTCTTCATGTCCTGTTGTCTCGTGAATCCCATGAATCTTTTGAATCTTTGTTGTCCTCTTATTTTTGTAAGCTATATTCCAATGTGTTTATCACAAGATCCTTTCTCCCTGTCCCTACTTTGGGTTTTTAAGGACTCAGCTTTTGAACCTAAAATTCAGTTCAAGTTATTTCATTAGCCATTTTAACCCAAAATATAGCAATTGGGTTTTTTTCCCTCCAAATCCATACGGAACAACACATTTCTTACCAAACTAAAGGATAACTAAAAATCACATATTTATGCCAAAAAATGAAACAGAATGTGCAAGTTCAAGCACCTGGACAACAATGGAAAAGAACATAAATATTCAATTATATAGCAAGCATAAAGAGCTATTGTTTCCTTAGTTATTGTTCAAAAGGAGGAAGAAATGAGGTCACAGTGGAAAACTATCACCTGACCTCAGCTTGCTTTCCTGAGCTTGGTTCCCCAGTAGCAGGGCATCTCTTCACATACATCAGCTTTCTATAAGCTGAACTCATTTTTATCAAGTTTCTAAACATTAGAAAAGAATTGCTTTTAGTAGTTTCTACAAAGCAGCACACAGACCCATATAAAATCCATTTTCAGCACACACACTTTCTAATACATATACCACTGAAGATCTGCAAAATATCTTAGATTAAAAATAGACAAAGTAACCTTAGGTTTATTCTGAATTTGAAACAGAAATATTTCTAAGAATTTCAATATTATTAAAATATCTTTGTATTTAAGTTTTATTGCCTTCAGAAATAGCTAACATCTACCAAAACTGTATTTTAAACCATTTGTAGGACTTGCCTTTCTCCTAAAGGATATATGCTTCCAAAAAAACCCCAAAAGAATCAATATAGATTTTATTAAAAGTGTGATGAATAATATATATGTTCAATCTGTTCTTGGCTAGGTAATGTAAATGTGATGGCAGGAATGACAGACACATATCATATAAATGAACCATTTTCCTATTTCACAGCTTATAGATATATATATATATATATATATACTTATATATATATACACACACCTGTAAATCCATCAGTTTATAGACACACAGAAATTTTGTGAAGACTGAAAAAAATTTGAAATAACTGGTATTAAATGTACAGGTTTGGATCTGAAATTCAAATTCCCATGGTTTGAGAAAACAGCAGAAAGGATGGGAATCCCCCCAGCTCCCAGTGCCTAAGCTATTGCTGGGGCTCTGCTAGGATGCAGTGATAAAATGAGGAATGTATTTATGCTTTATTTTGCACCAGTCCTAGTGGGTTTTTAAGCATTCCTTATAGACAATGAGGAATGTCTCTCTAGATGTACATTAAAAACAAATTTATAAAAACAATGTAGCAAACAATTATTTTTAAATCTGCATTTTTATAAGCTCATTCATGTCGGATACCCTGCCTTCCAGTTAAATAGAATTTACAAGAAAAACAAGCTAAAATAGAAAATTTATCTCTATTACAGTGCCAGACCAGCAAAAATAACTGAGTCACAAAGTAAAATTCAAGTTCTGTACATCACTCTCAAATGAGTGAAATGTATTAATGTGAAAGGAAGCCTGTTCCTCTAAAACACAACACTCTTTAGGCTAGATACAATCAGATATTTAAGGAGGATTTGTAGAGAACTAGAGATTGTCATAATGATCAAGTTCATGTAGAATGTAATCTGTTCTGAATTACTGGAGAAAATAACATTTAAAACCAGATTTAAAAAAAAACCCTGATATGTTATATCATATTATTGTGGATGGTTTTCTTGCAAAAGACCAAATTTAAAAAACACTGCCTGTGAAATAAAAGGCTGTAACTTCCTGCCAGTGATTTGAAATGAAAACTACAAACCAACCTCCAAACACTTCTCCTTCTCTGCTTCCTGCAGCAGTGCAGCCAGTCCTGGTAAGAGCACTGGGAAGATGAAAAACTCCAAGTATTCTCGAGGAGAACCTGAGCAAAACAGGACAGCCTTCACTTACAGCTAAGCACTTGGATTTCACAAAACCACCACCATTAGATATCTTAAAGTCAGTACCAGTCATTCTGTCAATACCATCACAGCTTGGACAAAGCAGATTCATTCCCTTCACAGACAGCCACTGGTCTGTCTTCGCTTCTCAACAAACACAACACAAACTTGGGTAAATTTCAAACTAAATGTGCACCAGCACTGCAGACTCAGTGTGCCTCTGAGATGTCAGACTCAGTTTTAAGTGAAGAAACTCAGGCACCAGAAGCAGTTTAGTCACAGAAGTGAAAAGCTCTGTGAATTAATTTACCCTGACAGGAAGAAATTAGCCTGTGCTGAACTCAGTGCTGCTGCAGTTAGACCACTTTGGTTTCTCATGCCCTTTACAATCTGTATTATCAGAGTTAGTCATAAAACTGAATTTCTAGACTGAGGAAAAACCAAAGGTTATATTTTAGTGGTGCTTTGATTTCTTTGTCATAATTGCTTCATACTTGCCAGATCCTTCAGAGATTTTAACCTGACTGCATGTATCCAAGCTTTCCCCTCTCAGAGGGCGGTCTGGGTTGGCACCTCTCCCCATTCAGGCAGTACTCAGGTTTTGGTCTGATCAGCAAAGCTTAAATCATACAAATGTTCTCTTCTGGCAACACAGCTGAAACACTGAATTTATGCTCAGCTTTATGCCTTTAATTGGTTCATATACTGCCAGAAAATGCTCATAATTGGGAGGACACTATTTATATAGCAGCCAAGGGTAACACTGCTTCTGACTTGCACCAGGAATTCCTAATAAGCAAGAATTAATAGAAGTGAAGACAAAATGAGGGGCTAAAATGCATAATAAAAACAGACTGCTGCTTGGTAAATTCATTATAAAGTATAGGAATTGATAAAAGTGGAAGAACAGAGCTGCTTCCATTTTTGTCTGTAAGATGGGAAAAGACAGTATTTTGACAGCAGTTTTCAAATTCAATTGTCTGCTTAGTCTATTGATCCTAGTTTTGCATTATTAAATCAGAGGAAGAAATGCCTGCCATTTCTGATTTAGGTGCCTAAATAAAAAGTCACTTATTCAGAAGAGCACAGAAGTACCTTAGCTAGTCAATGCTGGTGGTTTGTAATGCATAATTTGGTATTTCTTCCATTGACCAAGTGGCCAAGCTGGCTCCCTGTCTTCAAACCATGCAAATTCCACACAAGCAAAGGTGTTGCTGTTAATGCTCTAAATTAAATAAACTACAAATCCTTGCCATATGCAAGACAAATAATCACAGCAGGGTTCAAGATAATATACTCAGACTTACATTTTTTTGGATTAGGGGGTTCTCCAGGGGGAGCTTCCCCAAGTACAGATAGCAGATATTGGTCTGCAGGAGGAGAAAAAAGCTCTTCCATAGGAATTTCTGCTTCCAAAGGCACCTGCTCAAAAGAAATGTATTCTGTCTAAATACCCCAACAGACTAGACAAAAAATATACAAACCAATTCAACAGGAAGAAAATTATAGGGTCAGTTAAAAATTATGGAACTATAATTTCTAATTCAAATATTGTGTTATTTATGCATTTTCTGAATACTTGAAAATATAATAATTACACTTAAATAATAATGCACTTAAGTAATAATATAAAAAAACTACACTTCAAAAACTTCTGCAGTTTCCAGCACAGTAAAATCATCCAAACCTAACAGAAGGTACATTACTCCTTTTGACAGAATATGGTGAGATATCACAATTTAAAAAATATTTTATTCATTGCAGGAAATAGTAATTATTTGATAATTAATGCTGGTAGCATTTTCTGAATAGGTATTTTCCATTCAGAAACTTAAATATCTCTTTCACATTGTTGAGAAGACACTCACCTTTTAAAGAAAATAAACTTTTCTTGTTAGCATTACTCAAGTTGCTTTAAATACAAGCAATTATTTGGAATATTAGATTTGTTGGTTCAAGTAAGCTGTTTGAAAAATAATAGTTTTGTTTTCATTTTACAAATGAGTCTACCCTGTGGGTGCCTAATTTTCACATTTAGTTGTTTAAAATATTTTCAATCAATCTCTCTGCAGATTTTTTACTTGAACTGTACTCACTGATTCTTGTTTTGATTCAGGATCTTGTTTTGATTGAGGAACATCTGAAAATTGAGGCTGTTCCTCTTCATGCTCTAAAAGTTAAAAAAAAAAGTAAAACATTTACCAGGAGACCCGAAAAAATTATTTATTTTCCTCCTAAACCAACATTATTTTTAAAGGTATTTATTTAGGTTTGATAAAACAGAAGTTACTACACAATAAATATTTGTTTAACATGAAATCTAACGTTTTAAAACAAGCAAGAACTTTAGACACTCTTGTCATATCCTCTCTTGAGCTTTAAGTCAAGTGCAAGGCTCTCACTGACAAATGAACACTTATTGGGAAAAAGGTACCAAAATAAACCAAAATAATAGTTCAAAATATTGCAACATAAGTAAAATGTACATGCTTGCACTGAATTAACCATTGTTTTTACTAGTAGACAATCCACTTTTCATAGTGGATTCCACTATAAGCCATTAAATCCCACAGACATTGTTAAGTATTACTGTCTCCACATAAAAAAATAAAATAAAATAAAATAAAGTAATATAAAATAAAATAAAATCCTGATGAACTAAAAGCTGTACATGACCCTCAAGGATTACTGACTCAGGCTGAGACAAACACAGGCCCAAGACAAGGAACTCGCTGAGGGCACCCCCAGGTCCCACAGCAGGTGCAGCTCCACCATCGCAGCGGGGATTAATGGCACCACCAAACCCAGGGGTGCTGCAGGTGCTTGGCTTAGAATAACCAGCCCTACTCCCACCCGAAAATGGCCATTTTAGTGCAAAACGCCTGCTTTGGGCATTATGAAGTACTGAAGGAAGTTCTCCTGTGGGAACTGCAGAGCTGCAGCGCGGGTCCCTCAGCTTTGCAATCTCAGTGTTCTCGGACTGTGGGAGAAGCCCAGGGGCCCTGAGCACAGATGTTCTGTGTTCATTTAACCTTTCTAAGCACTGACATTCTCCTCTCCGCCTTCCCCAGGCAGTTCCCGAGCCGTTACAGGATAACCTCGGGGCGCAGGGGGCAGCTCGGAGGCCCTGCCGCGCCCGCAGCGGCCTGGCTGCGGCACCAGCGCACACAGAGCGCGTCTGCCGGCAGCGCACGGCGGTAACAGCACCGTAAGGCCCACGAGCAGAGCCGCTCGGGGCCCTGCTGCCGGAGGGGATCGGGGCGGCTTCGGGCACTCCGTGGGGCGGGCGGGAGAGGAGCGGGCGGCCCAGGCCGGGGCTGGCCGGGCAGCGGGCAAGGGCAGCCTGAAGGGCCCCGAGGGGCCGGGGAGGCAGCGCGGGAGCCCTGCCCGGGGGGCTCGGAGCGGAGCCGGGGCTGGCCGGGCTCCCACCTGAGCCGTGCCCGCCATCCGCCATGGCCGCGGCCCGCGCGTTGCCGCGGCAACGGCTCCGGCAGCGCCCGCGCGGGGCGGGCACGGCGCGATCCCTTCCGGGGCGGCGGCGGCGCTGCACGTGGCCGCGGGAGGTGAGCGCCTCACGGCACAGGGACCGGCACGGCCCGGCAGGCATAGGGAACGGCACAGGGACCGGCACGGCCCGGCAGGCATAGGGAATGGCACAGGGACCGACCGGCACAGGGACCGGCACGGCCTCGGCTCGGCACGGCACGGGATGCGGGGGCGGCGGGGCCGTGCCGGAGCCCGGAGCGGGGCGGGCCTCGGGCTGCCTCCCCCTCCCCGGGTGCAGGCGGTGGGTGGGCGCCGTGGGCCCGGACAGACAGCCTGAGGGGGGCTGTGCTGGCCTTGGGGCTCTTTCCGGGCTTCAACAGCCTCGGCGTTATTATTGTAAATAAGCCTCAGTGATAGTGTTATAAATCATAGTAGGGATAATTGGGTTTCTCGGCAAGTGGGTGCTAAAGGCTTCTCTGTTGTAATCAATTCGTAAGTGTCCTGAGAAATAAAAGGAAAGCAAGGATAAGAAATCACCGCTAGAAGCAAATTTAAGGTAATGATGCAGGTGCCTGGGAAGGGTCGTGTAGTGCTGAGTGGACAGTAAAGCGGTGTGAAGTTCAGTGAAAAGTCACAGGTATCTGGAAGAATAATTGTATTTCTATATACACACGGATATGTTTTGTTGTTTAGAAAAGATTTTTGGAGGGTAGGTGTTTCTGTGAAAACTTTATGGTCTGCTGCTGTGAAACAGACAAATAGAGCCTTGGAAACTAAGACAAGGTACACTAAACAACACAACAAAAAGAATGACCCCGACAGACAAATAGAGCCTTGGAAACTAAGACAAGTACACTAAACAACATGACAAAAAGAATGACCCCAGTAAACAGTATTTTCCCTATGTGTCTGTGTGTCAGTGTGTTCTGGTTCCCCATCATGGAAAGCAGACTGGAATTAAAAAGAGTCAGGGACAATGGGAGATCAGGAATGGTTTCAGAATAAAGTAGGACCAAGTAGATTAGGAAGCAGTTCGCTAAAATCTTCATATCCTTTTTTAGAATGATGATAAAGAAAAAGAGAAAAGACATTCATGAGGAGCCTGTACAGAAGAAGAAGAAGGTGAAGACTGTCATTAACATTGAGGAAGATGTTAAAACTGTCATTAAAACTAAGGACAATGGCCAACTCAAGGAAAAAACTAAGACAAGGAAAAAGGAGAATTTAAAAGATGAATGCTTACACAAATTTCAACCAAAGAATAATAAGAAAAACAAGAAGAAAGTTGACTCTGAGTTATTCAGAGAAGATCATTTAGAAAGCTTTGTAAATATAAAAGGTCATCTGGATTTACAACTTCAGAAAGAACCAGAGGAACAAATTAAAATATTCAAAAAGAAGAAAAAAAAATTCCAGTGTCATTTCTCCTTGGAGAATAATGAGAGTAGTGACGTGGAGCTTTCAAATCATCGCACAGACGGTACTAAGAAAAATGAATTCTCCTTTAAAAAAAAGAGAAAGCATACTGGTTTGGATTTGGAATTGGATGGTGAGGTAACAAAGAAAAAAAAGAAGAAATGCAGATTTTCATTACAGGACATTCAGGACACTGAACAAAGGCAATATGCAAAAGTCTGTAATAACACCCACAAATACACTTCACAAAAAGCAGTTTTTATGGGTGAAGACTGTAACACAGGTAATGCCCAGGATGGTGGGGAGAGTTGTGTAAGAAAGAAGAAAAATAAAAAGAAAGATAAGTCAGGCTGCTTTTTACCACTGGCAGATAATGAGAACAACATGCATCCAGCTCCTGGTAGCCCCTCTGCATTAAATGACTTCAGAAAAAGGAAGAAACATAATTCCTGGGAGTTTACATGGACAAGCAGAGAGGAAGAGGACAAAATTAAGAACTTTGGGCATACCAAAGAGAGGAAGAAGAAGAAAAAAAAAGCTATTTATTCCTCAACCTGTGCAGATAAGCCAAACTGCAGTCGCAGCATTCCTGATAAGCATCTCCCAGCACAGCAAGAAGGTGAGCTTGAGGAAGAAGAGCTGTATGGAAAGAAACACATGAAGAATTTCAAGGATAATAAGGAAGTCAGTAAGAAGAAAAAGAAGATTAAGAAAAAGGAGAAGGAAGCAACATACTCGTCAGGAGTTTCTTTAAACAAATACAGTGCTTCTAAAAGCCAAAAAGTACTGCTGGGAAGCAATAAGAAGAACAAAGAGAGTGAAATGGAGCGAGCTCAGTGTGTTACAGGGGACGCTGTAGATGGGACAGTATGCAGTAATAATCCTGAACTGTGTGACAGAAAAAGGAAAAAAAGGGAAAAAGTACCACCACAGGACTTGGCTGAAGAACCAGGTTCAAAAGCAGATGCAAAAACCATCAAGACAGAGTCGGCATGGAGTGAGGTAAGTTGGGGAGAGGAGGGCAGCTTTGCCCCTGCCTGCTCAGGAATTGAAAGCCTTTGGGGCAGTTCCCTGCTCTGCAGGCTGCTCTGCCTGCCGGTGACACTGAGGTGTGGGGGAGCAGGATCATAGCATGTCTTAGCTCACAGGAGCTGGAAGGGACCCACAGGGAGCAGCAAGCCCAGCTCCTCAGTGAAGGGCCCGTGCAGGGATCAAACCCCAGCTGAGCTGATGCTGTGACACCTGGGAAGCACTGATGCCTGCTGCTGTCATCACACAGTGTTTCAGTTGTGAAAATGTAAATATTACAGCTAGCAGCAAGTATTGGCCCAAAACAGAGTGGGTTTGTACAGGCATAAATGCTCAGTTGCTCTTAGCAAAGTGGCAGCACTCTTCATAAAGCAGGAGTTAAATACTGTGTCATTTACCCTGAGCAGGTGGCAACCCTGGCAGCAGGAGTTAATCTAATTGTTAGACTTTCCTCAAGCTTTGCTGCTGTCACTGCTGGAATTATGTAATGTTAGAAACAAAGGGGAAAGTTAGCCAAAACCTGTTGACTAATTCCAGCAAAACTTCAGAGAAAATCCTAGGAATCCTAAGTGTAGACTGGGCTAAAGAGTATTGAAATATAAATTCTGATAGAAAGATACTAAAGACCTAAACACACAGTTTTAATTAAAACAATAAATCTATGCAAGAGAATAAATAGGTGTAAGAACTGTGTGAATTGTAACTGAAGTAACTGGGATTTTATCCTGACTGACTGGTCAGGAAATCCCACCCCAGAGTCTTGCAGTAGTTGCCATTTCTGAGGTAAAAAGAATATGGGGAGGAACTGATGAAATATTTGAAATACAGACATTTTTTCTGTATCTGATCAAAGTTATGTTTTAAAGCTAAGGGTGCCAAAAGTTAGTACCTACATGCTCAACTTCTGTTAGGAATTAAGATGTGAGATGCTCAGAAAATCAGTAGGTATCCATGTGCATTTTTGGCTGCTTAAACTTAACTTTGAAACCAGCACATTGCAAGTTCCTAGGAGGTTGTTTTTATTTCTGTAGGTAATGGGAAGCTGCACTCCAGTTGCTTTCTATCAAGAGTTTTGAATGCTTGGCTTATTTAAATGTCAAGCACTAGTTAAGAAGGTATCACTGAAGATTTTTGCAAGTTAAGGTTGGAGCAGACCATAATATGAGCTGCCTCTCAAGCTCACTTCGTGGTGTGCTTTGCTTTGTCATGCACTCAGATGCAGTTTCCTCAAGTTGTATGGAAGCCTGGCAGCTGCCTGGTGTCTAGTGCTAATAATTAAATTTAGATTCGTGTGGAGACCCAGATACAGGCTTTTTTCACAGGGGTTTGTGAGGGGAGTGTGTATGCTTATCAGTCATGAGGTGAGCAGATGTTTGGGGCTTTCAAGCTGGATTTCTCCTTTTGACCTTTCAAAAGGACAAGGTGGTTTTATTGCTGGATATATTTTCTAATTAAATTGGCATTGCCTTCTTGAGATTGTTGGACATTATTTGGATTTTGCAGCTGCTTACATTGTGTAGAGGTAAGATAAGCCCTACAATGACACGTGAACTTTCATGACCAGTTAATATGGAAACCACAGCAAATACCTTGCAGACTGCTGAGGAGAAGGGAGTAGGGTGATGCATGTTTTGCTCCTCTTTCCCATAGGCAGCTCCTTTAATAATAAAAAAACTACTCAAAAGAAAATCTGAAGATTGAGAGGTCTGGGTTTATCAGTTCTAGTGATTTCTAGTTCCTGCCAGGCAAAAGACACTGCACTAATAAATGGCTGATAAGGTGGTCTTGCATTTAACTGTGCCACAGTCCTGAAGTGTTTTAATCTACAGCATGTCACACGAGGCTCTGCATGCCTTGAAAAATCCTCTGTTGGGCTTGCCCTGCAAGTAAAAGAGCAAATTTTAAAGACAGTGTGGAATGATACCTACTTAATATCAGTGCTTGGTGTTTTTCTCATGGGATGCCTTTGCAGTCAGCTGGGGCAGTGAGGAGGATGAGACTCAGTTTACTGCTTTGATGTTGTTTGCCAGCAGACAGCATAACCCTACCACGTGTGGATGTGCTCCTTTTCCATGAAGGTGGAGGAAGCTTGGCACACCTCCATGGGGTAGTTTTTTCCACTCAGTAGCCCTCAGCAGGTCTGCACCGTGCTGGGGATGAGCAGGGACAGGGCTGCTCCCTCCTGCCAGATAAAAAGAAAAAAATATGCTGCAGATGTTTGCAGAGTCCTGTCAGGACAGTTTACCTGCTTGTTTTAGTAGATCTGAAAAGACAGTACCAGGCCATCTAGAAGTAAATTGGGGGTTGTTTTTGGTTTCTTCTTTTCTTCCAAGAGCACGAGCTCTCCTTCCTGCAGACAGTGTTCTCGCATTTTTAATGGTGCATGTACTTGTGTGTGTGAAAGCAGTGTATAAAAGGTAGCTTTGGAAAAGGAGGTAAATCACTGATAGCTTTTAATATAACTGAAGCCTCAAAAAGGTAACAGCAGGTTCTGCTGACAGAAGTATGTTACAAATCTTTTCCTTGTCGTTTCCCTGGCTGTTTCATGCTTGGTTTATTGTCTTAGCTGTATCAATAGATCTTCCCTTTGGCCACTTTTTCCAGGCTGGTCTCAAGCTTATGGCTCTCATTTACCACTATCCTGGAATTACTACTTACTCTGTTGTACTGAATGCCCAAAAAGCTTCTCCTGATTGCAAATTTGGAAGAGAAGGGCTGGGGCAGTGGTTTAGGCAGGTCAGTCACTGGGAGCAGAAGCTGCAGAGGGGCTGCACTTTGTGGAGATGTGATCATGATCTGGGTGTGTGTGGGCTCTGCCCAGATTTGCCTCCTGCCATCCATAACATCCATTCTTTCTGGAGCTGCTCTGTCTCTTCCATCAGCTCCCTGTTCCTTGCTCTCAAAAGTGGAATAATGTGCTGCTGGCTGCCATTGAGGGGACAGTTCCTGTGTGAGTCCTGCCTCTCCCTGTGCTCCTGGGACCATCATCCACAAGGAGCACAGTGCAGCTGCCTCTTGATTAGTTTTTGTTCATTTGTTTCAGAGAGACCTTTAGTTATTTTATCTCCAATTTTTATTTTTTTCAACTTTCACTGTCTCTGTGCCTTTCTTCAAGTATGAATTTAAGCTTTTACAAAATGGTTTAATTGGAAATTACTCTGCCTGCAAACATCACTGTGCCTGCCAGTGTTGTTGGCAGGTCCCTATTAATGTGTAAATCTACAAATCATTTATCTTTATTAAAAGAAAAAAAATCTCTGTGAGGTTTTTCCATAGGAATACACAGATTTAATTGGTGTTTTCATCTTAGAGCAAATTATTTCTTCTTGCCCCTGAATAGTACTACTGATTGCTTACTTTTTTAATTACTTTTGTGGTAAGAGCTGTGTAAATTCTAATTAATCAGAATGGATAAAAATAATCATAAAGCTTTTTCCTGTTTTACAGGAACATCTAGATGGTGTAATTATTGTGAAGGAAAAGAAAGGAAACTGTGATGAAATTAACATAGACAAGGTATGCTTTGTCCTAACTGGGTAGGATCTAAAGCAAGTCAGCATTTAACATATGCATAGGAATTGATGATAGAAAAAAAAAAAACCTGCTTTGTTGCTTATCTATGCCTGGATTTCCCTAAATAAAGCTCTGCTTAAAATGTGCTTTATGTGTGGGTTAAGTCCAAAATGTACAGTCAGTGTCAGAACTGAGTAACTTACTAAGTTAAAGACACATTTTTTTGCCTCTCATCAATGTTGGCAGTTAGAAAATGAGACTTACTTGATACAGCAAACCACTCATTTAACATACACTAAAAAATTACAGTTCTGTTGAGTGTGTGAAAGGATCCCATGCACCTTTTAATTATCCTTGCAAAATTCTGAAGATAACTGTTTTGTTTTTCACTTATTATTTCATTGTGAGTGAATTGTCTGTCATTAACACACTGGACACAGAGTCTTATGCTGCATGTGTAATTTTCTGCACACCAGGTGAGGCGGCAGGCCCTGCAAGAAGAAATTGACAGAGAATCTGGCAAAACCAAGGCTTTCAGTTCCAAAGTGGGACAGGTGATGTATGAGTTCAGACCTCAGCCTGATGGAAATACTGTGTCCCAGGGCAGGTTCCTGTAAAAACCACTGTGCTCTTTTCTGTATGTGGCTCATGAAGAACAGTGTTCCTTCTGAGAGCAGATTTCAGGCCATGCTATAGAACAAGTTGGTGCAGTGCCAAGGGTCTGAACTCCTTGCCATTGCACAGTGCTCTAATTCCCATTGTCAGTCCTCAAAAGCAACATTTTCTCTGGTGCCTCTGGAGAATGAGCCATCAAAAATTGCTACAGAAGCATTTTCTGCTTACTATGAAACACAAGTAATTTTTGGGCTATGGATGCAGCAGTCACTGAAGTGTATCTGATTTCTTACCTGCCAAGACTTTGCACACATTCAGCAACAGGGACACCCATGGAAAGGTAAAGGGGGTGGCAACTGTTGACACGTGTGTAATGTTTAGAGTCAGTTCTCTCGTGGCTTCTGCATCCTCCCTCCACCTCTTTGGAAGATGATTTCTGATTCTTTGCTTTTGCATCCTTCTCATACTGGCTCCTCCTGACAGATTCACAGTAAGGTCGTGGAAGTTTGCTGCAGTGTTTTGCCAGGGCTAAGAAGGTTGAGGTGGAGAGAAAGCTTTGCTAGTAATTCAGGCTTCTGTTGTTTTGCAGGACTGCCAGAATACCTAGAAAGCTGGAATATGCCTCAAACAAATGCCAGAGACAATTCCTGTTGATCTAACGTAGTGGGAGGGAGTCTGCATAGCTCTGGAACTGCAACTGTCTAATAGTCTCTGGAGTCATTGAGAAAATGACATCCTTGGCAGGAGATCTCAGTTCTTTGGCACTGATCTGTCTCTGTTTAGTAGTGTGCAGAAGAATAGAAGCTGTGAAAACTAATTCATCAGCTCCACAAAGTGAGCTGGAAGTGCTTCAGCAGAAGCTGTGTGTAGTGGCTGCCAACAGCTCACTTAAAAACAGAGTTTTGACAAGCCATAATTATATTTGCATCTGTGCAGATGTCTCCCATTGCAAAGGGAGGACTTACATTTATTTATTTGTGTTGTGTGTGTATCTGGATGTGTGCATGTGTCTGTGTCACAGACTGGGCTTGTGCAGCAGCTTGCAAGGTCAAAAGGCTGAAGTATTATGGGTTTCTTTCTTTCATACCAGGTACTGAGGCCTGTGATAGTGAATGATACTCCAGCCTTGCATTTTTTTACCTTAAAAACCCCTGCTGTGGCTTGCCTGCAGTTGTGTAGCATGCTGTGTGTCATGCTGGCTGGCTGCTGGAGAATGACTGTTTCATGCAAGCTGCAACTGTTCTGTTGGAAAGATTTCAGGCTGACATAAACATACCACTGAATTCACATTTTTTTCCTTTGATGTAGCCAGCTTAGTCTGTTTAATTAATAATCAGACATTCTGCCATTTAGTACCATGCCCAGTTTTAAAGAAAAAATTCTGGGTAAATCCTGCCAAAAATATTTATAAGTGACTGCATAGCTATAGCTCAGGAGTCAAATACACCCTTGAATAAAGAAGCCTGTTCTTAGGTAAGCCAAAAGTTCATGAACTCTGTAAATCCTATGGTGTATCTGGGGTTTTCTACAAACAGCTGAAATCTCATTTTAGCTGGATATTGCCTCCTCAGAAAGGGGCCAGAATCTGCAGACAGAAGAAAAATCCTGAAGGGGTGAAGTAGTCCAGAGAGTGCAATTAAATGCAGATACAGTGAATACAAAGAACACAGCAAACTGCAAGGGAGGAGGGGAGGCTTTAAGAGAGCTAGACTTGGTCCTGTGGGATAGGGGAGGCCCTCTGGTTGTGCACCCTTGCAATATTAGTTGTAATCAGTGGGATGAGAATGCAAATATTACCTAAAGCTTGGAAGCCAGATTGAACAGTGTCCACAAGTAACAAAACACTGCTGAAAACAGCAGCTCCCTAACTAGGCAGTGGGAGAATGAAAGGATAACCCTACAAAGTGACAGTGAAAGAGGATTAAGTCTGAGTTTTCTTAGAATAAGAGATGCTGTCTGGCTCTTGGAGCTGGGTAAAGAGAGAGCAGAAAGCCAAGACTCCTAAGGACAGAGGGAAAGGAGATTCTCCAAGGGCATTAAGCCCTGGCTGCAGGTGACATGGCTGAAGTGCTGGTGAAGGTGCACTCAGGCACAGCCAGGTCAGTCTGTTACCACTTCCCTGGACAGGTATGGCCATGGAATAACAACAGCTTCCCAGCTCTGTCCCCCTGTCAGCCTTCTGTGTTCTGTTCTCATGGGACACAGCCAGAAATTGTCTCCCTTGGTCCTGGTATTTCTTAATTTTAGTGTTAACTTTGTTTTGCCTCACAGGCTACGGAGCTTGGACAGTGGAGTACAGCTACTTTTAAAAGTTCTGCAGAACAAATGAAGTTTTTTAGACTGTTGGGTGGTTTTAAAAAAGATTCTGTGCCTATGCAAAATCCCTCAGCAACTACAAACAAACCAAACATGGCTCTGAACCAGGAAGAGCAGGAGAAGTTACAGCAGGCTCTGAAGATGGAGTTTGATAAAGCAATGGACTTGAAGCAACACAGAGGAATTGGTCTTGGATTTCAGCCTAATGCCAACAAAAAAATATACATAGACAAATATTCATCTAGATCTATAAAATTTGAAGATTAAAACTCAGAAGTAAAGAGTATGAAATTTCATTTTGCTTTCTACATCTTTTTACTTGAAATAAAACAACAAAATGCTGAAGAAATTTTGTTTATGAAGTACTTGCATTACAAGTTTTCACCTGTTTCCACCAATGGAGCTGGGTCCTCACTTCATCCAAACAGTAAGTTTTTGAAACCGTTGTCATGTTCTGCAAGGCAAGAGACAGCCTCCTTCAGAGACTGAAGATGTGTGCCATGCCTGCAATTAGTTAAAATTCAGTATTTTTTTTAAATGTTGATTTAATAAACTTACTTTTATCTATATCATAAGTGATTCAAAAGGATTTTATTGTTCTGTAAAATCTTCACATTTTTTACACTCAGTGGTACAAAATGATGGTGCTTTACTTTGAAGACACACTAGTGGTGTGCCCTCAGAGTGATGAGGGCAGACTTTTAACTCAGAAAGTAATTCTTAAAAATCTAACTTGTAATAACAGCATTGAACATCCTCTGTATTTGAACTGTGCTCTGGCAGTTGGATTTTCCATCAGCAGCTGTTATCTAAAAATGGAAGTATAAGCATTTTGGAGAGTAGCACCAACAGAACTACTACATTTTTTTATCTTTTAGGACAACTTCACTTTCCACTGTAGTTTTCTGCAATGGACTGCTCTACCTGAAAGCATCTGCCTGCAGCAGAAAACACACTTAACAAAAGAGCACTTGGTTCTGAGGAAGTGAAAATTATGCTGAGACTCCATCTGAAGGGGTTGCCATGAATCCATTCCTGTATCTGGGAAGAGGGAGATGCTCTTCCTGCAGGGTCTAAACTTCTTGGAGAAAACCTTCTCCTTTAAAGTTCATTTAAACCATCACTACCACAACATGAGGCTGTTCTGCACTACTGCTCTGTGTTCAGCACCAGCTTCCACCAGCCCTTCCAGGTTTTGGCTCTTGTTTTACTGAAATTCAGGCAGTTAAGGTTCTGTTTTCTCTTCTAGTTTGAAACAAATGCTGAATTTGAGCTCTCAGCTACTTGCCTGGCAAGGAGAAAAAAAACAACCACTAAACAAAAGTAGCAATAGATAGAAGATCTCACCATGGTTCCTTACCATGGGGCAAAAGGGGTGAGAGTGAAATTTTATTAGAAATAATAACAGTAAATGTAACTAAATTCCAGAAGGGTAAGGTGATAGATTTGTATACACAAAGAAACTCCCCCAGAACACACAGATGAACTGCAAATTGTTTTATTCAGTGATAGGTACTTTGCAAATATAGAGGACTTTGCATAATTTCCATTTTCCTTTGCAACACTTAAAGATTCCTTCTATTTTACAAAACACCACTGGACTAAAATGAAAACATAAACATGTCTGTGTAAATGTGTTGTAGAAATTAGAACAGCAACACCTCAGCCATTTTTCTTTGCTACTGGAACCAGCCAGGCAAATGCTGGCAGCATCCCAAAGCAGACAGATAACTTAGTCTGTTACACTGAAATGCTGCTTTCTGTAGAGGAGAACGAGTATTCTGCAAGAGGGATGAAGTTTTAAGGCTGTGAACTCATTTGTACAGATTATCTTCCTTTTTTGTTAAAATTACAACAGATCTCAAAAGGCTTTTGCAGCCATGAGGTTCAAGATAACTGTTTTCTGAATGTAAATCAGCATTTAAAAGAACAATGCTATGGTAAAACTGGATACAGAAACTCAGGTTAAATTATTGCACTCAGAACAGTTTTACCTTTGCTGTGCCCAAGTAAATGTGCCTCAGTAAGGAAAGTAACAACACACTGCACTCCTGCAGTGAGAGTGCAGATCAGTGACTTCTGGCCTTGGTTCCGTGCTCCCTTGTGCAGGTGGCCCCTTGGAAGAGGCACTCCTCAGGTCCTGGACTGCAGAGGAAGCCGGAGGGCCAAGTCTGTGAAATGACTCATTTCAGGCTGCTTGCTCCTCCTCTTGATGTATTCCAGGGTTTTCACCTAGATTTGAAAAGAAAGGTATTTGGAGATTTTCAGTGGCTCATTTCATAGCCATCAGTTCATCTTTGTGAAGGTGTTTTATCACGCTCATTATCATGTATGTGTTTCTTAAAGGCTCTCAAATGCCACTTTACCAGCTTTCACCAGGCAGTTCCTCCACAAAATAAAAATGCAATATTTATCTTAAAGCTAGTTTTCTGTACTGAACAAAAAGTTAAGAACAACCAACACTTTCAGGTTCCTTAATGCTTGTCATATCATACTATTAAAATTCTAGCAAGATACAGATACTTGAAGTAAGAGAAGCTGCTTGTTCATTAAGAAGCATTTAGAAAAATAACTTGTTGGGGTTTTTAGATAATTTGATTGTGAAGAGATGAGGGTTATTCAGATCAGGAAAATGCTACCTTTTCCCAAATAAAGAGTGGAAAAAGATATTAAGAACTAAAACCTCTCTGCATTATCTGTCTCCCTGCCTTACCATAGTCTTGGTGTCAGCAAAGCCATGCTTCTGAGCAAGATTCCAGAGATTGACTGAAAGCTGGTTCAGTCTGTTGTTTCGTAGGTCCCCATGAGCCAGGATGGTGTTGAAGAAATAGAGTGCCAGCTGGCTCTGCCTCTTCAGGGTCTAGGTGAAAACAGAAATATTCCCACTGTACACTCATCCCAAAATACCCAGCTTAACCTCAGCAGCTTCTCTGAACCCTCAGAAGTTCAAAGGGCACTCCTTTTGTGACACACAGCAATAGTTACAGACATAAGAACACACTCAGAGTTTTCATATTCCACTCAAAATGCAGCAAAGCACTAGTTGTAAATCAACATAAGCTGCTGTAAATAAAATAATTACTCAAGACTCCTACATCTCACAGCACTTTGGCACAGCACAGTGTGTAGGTCTGGCACATTTACAACTCCAGACTCCCTTCCACTGCATAGAAATCACGCTCCCACCAACCAACCTTGCACTCAGAGCACCTTAGCTGTACATTTTTAGAGAGACCACTGTCATCAATCTAAATTAATGCAACTTCAGGCTTTTTTTCCCCCAGTCTATTCTACTTTATTTATTTAACCTAAGATGTTTTTTTCCCTGCTATTCTTTCACTGAAACTCTGGTGATATGAACATATTTGCACCATATTTTTAGCTACTTCCCCTAAAATTGCTGAGGAGGGAGACCTTAAGAAGCATAAGAGCAGTTTTCCCCCACAAAACAGAGAGGATTCACTGCTACATGTTCTCTTGACCACAAACAGCTTGAACTTTACAGAACTGTCCAGAACAAAAAATTTCCATTCCAGCACTGTCACACAAATGAAGCATTCTCTAATACTGTGAAAAGACCACACTGTGTTAACAATAAAATGCATTGTTCTCTTCTAAGTTGCCATTTTGGTGAAAGGATTTTATTGTGAGAAGAATTTATTTTCCTTTATAGCTTTTAAAGGAAATGAACCAATAAAAACACAAAATCATTAGAGCCTTGTTCATTTAAATGAGCAGCCAAGAAGATGAATAATAAAAGGTCACCAACACTGAAGCAATCCAAATACCACAGTGATTTTATGACGAGCTTTACTTTAGCACAATTAGAGATCTCTGACAATATTCTCATCACTTCTATTTCCTCAGCAGCAACAGCTTCCTCAAACAACTATTCATTCTTACAAAGCAATTTTTATCTAAATCTCTCAATGACTTTCACTCAACAAAGCAAAACAAATGTCCCTCTTTGTAAATAAGGATGGACAGAGGAGCAAAGCCAAGGCTGCAGAGGCAAAGGCAGGCCAAGCACCTGTATCTGTGCTGCTCAGCCTTAGATCCAGTTTTCTGTGCAACAGCAGCCTCAGTGAACTAACACAGGGTCTCCCTACTCAAAGCATGCTTGAAAGGAAAAAACAAACAAAAAAACCTCCCATGGAGTTCAAGACCTATAAACATTCCTACCCACAAATTCCATATAGGAGTCAAATGAAAGAAAATCCCTAATATACAACCCACATTCCTGAAAACTTGAAATTTCTTTCCAAGACCTGGAACATTGGACATTCTTAGCTGTGCTAGAATGGTTGTTTCTGCTGCTACTTTTCTGAAAAAGAACTGCTGTTCCCTGAGGTGATGTGCACAATGATGCAGAGGATTTGAGCAAAGGGTATTTTCATCTTGTATCTCTGCCATTGCTCAAGGAAGGACAAACAGGATAGCAAAAGCAGAGAAAAGGCTAAACTTAGCACAGTGTCCTCTCAATATGTATCACTTAACACATTCTGTATTGGCAAACACTCTGGGCTACTGTGCAAATAGCCCATCTAAAAAATTCCATCCAATCAATCACGCCCTGCCCTCCCATTCCAGGCCACCAGCCACAGGATTTCTATCAATAGAAGCCATCCAGTAAGGGCTGACTGGGAAGCTGTCCATTCTCAGAAACAGGTACATTAACAGAACAGTGAGTTCTCATTATTTCAGCAAACATCAGTCACCTGCCTTTCACACACAATCCATTAAGCTAGATTTGATCCCTCAGAGCTCCTGAATTCCAATCAAGAAATCCAATAAGCTGCCTAGAGTTTTCTTTATTTTATATTGAACAAATATACTAAAGTCAGACTAAAGACAAAACAACTATTTCCTTCCTCTGTACCTCTCTCCTGACATCATCTTAGTGCCTGGGATCTGAAACTTTTATAATTACAGGTGGCTTTCATTGTATTTTCCCCAGTAATAAAACTAACTGTGAATTCTCACTTTGCTCATTACAGAATTGGACATCATTAGGTGTCCACCACAAGTCTGCCTATGTGATGGTCTCACTTTCTAAACAAGTAAAAATACCCAATTTCCTTTTGTTATGAGGTTCCTGAAGCTTTTGACAAGACCAAGTCCTGGTCAAAGGTGGTCTGTTTCTTTAACTCCTAATTACTTTTGGTTCTGTATTGACTCAAGCTGAGTAAGAACATACCTCCTCCTTTCCCAGGGTTTTCAGGTGATCCAGGATCTGTGACACCACTGTCTCACTCAGTTTATTAAGTTCAGCCAGGAACTTGGAGTCTCCACCATACAGAGTATCATTGGAATCAACTGCAGAGATGAAGTCAAGCTTAGGTCTGGCCAAAGAGCTGTACATTTATTTGCTATTGGAAACATCATATATTGATAGAAGACCACATTTGGAAGTCATAAAATGACTCCATAAAATGACCCTCCTCCATGAAACACAAACAGAACTGGTTTTTAAGTGCCTACCATTGGTTGCCTATTATGCCCTTTTGATTTTAGGAGCAAAACACTGAGAAGACTCTTTTAGCTTAAAGCCAGTCCTGTATTCCTGGATGCAGCCAGGCTCACAAATATCTCCTAGACTCAACGTTAAGCAACATATCATGTCAATTTTCAGGTTTCCCACAGAGACAGACTCCCTGCTCCCATCACTTTAGAAGAGTATGGCCATCATCTACAATGGCAGCAGCACCAGGCCAAACAATTTGTGTTTTATTTACTGAGAATAACCAGATTTGCAAAAGAAACTGCTTTTTTTTCCTTAAAATAAACCCATGATTACCTCAAAGTGATGAATAGAAATTCAGAAAGTGTATTTTCAGTTTCAAAGACCTTAAAGGATTCTTAGGAGGGAGAGAGCTCTTCAAGTTTTTACAGCTTATATAATTGTGATTTTAAACATGTCTTTTGCCCTAATTTATTTATGTTCTATTAAGAAGAAGGACAGAAGAAATTTTTTGGTTTAAATATATTCTAGGTAAATCAGAAAGTACAATAGATGAAAGATAATTCCCTGTTTCCAAGTAAACTTCATTTTAAGAAGCTAGAAAAAACTCCCATTGCCCTGCAATAGGGGGAAAATTACTAATTTATATTTCCATGCTTCTCTCCATTAAAATCTAATTAATTTAGATTTCTCATCTTGGGATTATACAGCTATTTTGGTTATACAGAAAATGGAGTGAAAGAAAAAGCTAAAGCACACTTCCTTACAGAATTTGAACAGCAGATTTACTACAGGGGAGCACTTCCACTGACAGCTATTTTCTGTGCTGCTAACTGCAAGAGGTGTTTTGTCATGGGTGGTAAATCTGTCAGACTGTTCACCAGAACTGCAGAACACATTCCAGGCTTCCCCTCTGTGAAAGTCTGTGCAACAAAGAAAAAGTCAAACCATCTTGGCCTCTCTGACTCATTAATCTTCAGGATGCTTTAAAGAATTTTTATTTATTACTCTACCTTAATTTAGTAATCTATAATCAGAAGGCAAATATTGAAATTTTAGAGCATATATCAAAATATTCCAAAAATTATTACAAAAAATATGACAGCTATTTTTCAAAAGGTAAAATCTTTAGAATTTTCTAGCTATTCTGAATATTTTTGTAAGTTACTGCAATTTCCAGAACTCAAAGCCTGCCTTCAAAGCAGCAAATACATAATTTAAATAATGAAGACTAGGCTTTACATTCTGAAAACTGGATAAATGTGGATGAAACACCAACGATAAGTATAAATCAAGTTGATGATTTAGACTTAAATAAAACCCTTCATATGCATAATCTTTACTTGAAAAGTTCACGTTTATAAGCATTTGCACCAACAGCACCAGAAGCAAACTAAGTAACCCACTCTGCACAGATTCACTTTAAAGAGCAGACTGCACCTGTTCAGAAGCCAGCTCCTGGATTATTCTAAATTACAATACCTGGAACTGGATAGAAAAATAATCCATCCTGTGAGCCTGATTACCACTGGTCTTCATTAACTGGCTGTGGTGATAAGACAATACTACAAATGTCCTGGTGGAATGCAAGGAGCCAGAGCCCCCCTTAGGTATTACCTTTATCTACATGGTAGATAAATGCTTCTTGAGTCATTGCAGACAGCAGATGCAAAACATTAGTATAAATCCTGACTTTGTCATCACTGTTATCCTCCCAGGTGTAATCCTGGATCACATTCAGTAATCCTCGCACAAGGAACAACACTCCTTGCTCTGGGTGGTCCTACAGAGAAGAAAAAAGATAGATCAAAACCAACACCACATCTCTGGAACAAAAATAGGATTATTTTCAGCCATTCAGTGGTGTAGAGTCACAGTTTGAGCTCCATAAAAGCAGAACTACAATATAATTAAAGCTGACAGCTACTTTTCTTAAGTGGGCTTCCTGCAAATCCTTTGAATTTTTTTTCCAGTTTCCATCTAAAATGCTCATTTGACCCATAAGCAGAACATGATCCAGACAGCCTCCACAGACAAACTTTGAAATGCTTTGTTTTGTAGTCATGGGGGAGCAGTAGAAAATTAATTGTCAGCTTCTTAACAGCTAAGCCTCTAAAATTAAACACTGGGTAGATTTCGTTATTAAAATCGTATCAGTAAGCTGTAGTGTATTACTCATATAATTATGAGTTTCAGAAGAACTCCTACACTGGGAAGTCAGTTACAGACAATCAACAATCTTTTCACATGAAATGAAAAGAAAGACTCTGCTTTACAAAAGCTGGGAGTTTTTACCAGCAGCTTTAATACTGCACCAGCTAATTCAGCTGGCAGTTGGAGCAGTGGCACCAAGACACACAGGACAAATCACAGTCTGCTGGGGACACTTCCTTTTGGTATTCTGTAAATAGGGAACAGAGTTAGGGAAGCCAGATTCTGAGTGCTGGCATCTTGTTGCAAGTTATTTTTCATGACAGAATCTGAGAGGTTGTATCCCTCCCTCCTTCAGGCACCTGCTCATGATCCCAGTCACTCCACAGCCTGATCCCTGCAGTCAGTGACAGCAGTGACATCCCAGGGCAGCTTCCCCTTCCCTTCCACCTTTCTGAACAGGGGACACCCCTGCCACTGCAACAGGGGGAATGCACAGCTCTGACAGCAAGGATCTGAACAGCACCCCACTGAGTGCTGCTTCACCAAGCAAAGGAAAAAGGAAGGAGAAAACCATAAGGGAGGTTTCAGTGAGGAGGAAAAACCACTCTCTCCAAGAAATGAATATACAGGTAATTTACAATTTCCCCTCATATTTAAGATATAACTGAAAATATTGGAGAGAAAATTACATCTCTCTCTAAATTTGACAGCTAGTTAAAAACTGGAAGGGTGTAGTACTTTGTGAAATATTCATCAGAAGAGGAAGGTTATGCCAAAACACATCTTCTAATTATTGTTTTCACTCCAATGATTAGGCAACCTATACCAAAGTAACTGTAAATAATAGCAACTAGAGCTCTGTATTTTTCCCCTCCTCATGTATTAGAGATTTTTGAATACTTAGCTAATAAACCAGTACATGATGTTTACACAATTAAATGATGGTGAGATTTCACTCCACCCCAAATCCACGTCTAGTGAGAGGTGCTGCTGAGAGTGGCAGTGCTGTGCCTCCACTCCACACAGTTGTTCTGCCTCCCCATTTTGCACTGGGGCGAGTGATTGTGCAGTCAGTGAGCACAACAGTTCACCCTTTCACAGAAAACTAATCCCTGCATTTCCCACTCCAGAAGCCCAGTCTGCTCTAAATTTTTAAACAGGAAAGTCAAAATAGTCTATACTAACCTGTGTGCCATTCATACAGACTCAACTTACCGGAACAACTAATAATGTGGAAAAGAAATTACACAGGAATTCCAGGAGGAAGGCATCAGAAGGTCGCATCTTTCCATCTACACTGATCGTTTTTGGCACTTCAGGAACAAGGCTCACTGCAGCTTTGAAAAAAGCATCAGCTACAAAATAAAAACAGTTGCTGTTATATCACTCCAGCTGTGATGGCAGCCATGCCTGTAACCCAATGGTTGCTTTGAATTTGTTTCAAAATTCAAAGAAATTACAGAAAATGAATGTGCTGAACTGCAAAGAAACCCAAGATTCAGCAGTGGTCTGATTCTTGAGAAATCTGTTAATTTGAATGATGCTGTTCCTCCAAAGGAAGTTCCCACATCACTCAAAACTTCTGAAAGTATAACTTTTCTCCTTTGCATAACATGGAGACAACATCATTTCATATGTATTGCACATATAATAAGAAATTAGCACAGGACTCAAAATTGACTTAGCAAAGCAATGTTTATGCCAGGAGAATGGGGAATCCAAAGTGGGGAGAAAAGGTTCATGCTATCTTGTTCACCAATTCATTCACAAAAGGCTGTTAAGGTCTAAGGAAATACCAACAACTTCATATTTGTAATTATTCATAAACCCTAAAAGTAAAATATTAATATAGTACCAGAACCTGGGGTAATGCTGGTTACCTAGATAAAAGAGTATTTTCCAAGAATCACAATACAGGAATTAGAGAAACCATCCACCATTACAGCCTTGGCAAAATAGCTATTAAGAGGTTTTTCATAACTCTTTATTATGTCTCTAATCTTACAAAAACATAAATTCCAAACACTAGAACATCTATTCTTCAGTTTATTAATATTCACAAATTAAAAGCAACAATATTTTCCCTCTTACACTAGAAGCCCTCCTATATATGCTGAGTTCACAAAAAAATTTCTGACAGCAACGTTGTTTTGCACTATCTTGGCCACATTTCAGAATATCCAAGTACCCACATCCCACTCAAGCTGTGGAGCCATATACTTCAAAGCATCCTTCAGAATTAATATTGTATCTTTATTCTGCAGGAACAGAGACCCAGGCCATGTAATCAGCTTTTATCAAAAGCAAAAGGAGAATTCTTGGTGAAAGCCAAGAGGTGTTATGTGGCTGGGATGGAGATACCACTGACAGGCAGGCATGGGCATTTCCAGGAGCACAGCTTGCTCTGGAAAAATTCATTTGAGACTCCAAGCAAATTTGCTAAATATAGTACCAACTGATATCTAATTTAAGCTTATGAGGAATACCAGAGAAACATGTGCTTTGGAAAAACTGTAGTTCTTCTCACTCTTTTTTTTTCAGCACACAAGTGCTCAAGGACTTTTTAGTGCTCAGAACACAGACCCCTTCCATCAAACATTGTCCTTCCTTTTACTCTGCACATTTGTTTTGAGGTGAAAGAAGGTTTATTTCAAACAACTTATAAGTTTAGACAGCCAACCCAAAGGAAGGTAAGTAATCTTTCTCTGCTTTATTTGAGGAAGGAAGGCAGCAGCAGATGTTCATTCTAGCACAAGTAAATGAATCGCTGTCACTTCCACAGTTGTCTCCGAAAAAAAATAAAAGTGCACATCCCACATCACCATACAATAAAAACATGTGACCAGACAAATGAAAAAATGTGCCCTAGAGAATAGTCTGCATACCAAAGTACCCATGTGTGTGCAGGGAATGCTCCTGCCTTCTGGAGTTATTTCATAACAGGACGAGAATGACCTGTGCAGCAATCAGCATCCACAGTGAAAGAGAGCTGCAAAGCACCTCACCCTAATTTACTGCCTGCTCTCCCAGCAATCACAATCCTTCACATTCTCCTCTACACCTCTGCCACAGTGCAAACCCAAAACCTCTCATGTTCCATTTGAAAACCTGAAATTGATTCAATTTAATGAGAGCTGCCTCCTCATGTGGCTGAGCAGCTCCAGAGCCAGGAGCTGCCTGGTTCCTCGGGCAGCTGAGAGCAGTGCCCAGCTCCCCACAGGTGCTGCCACACCAGGGACCTGCCCGAGCTGCCACCACCTCCCTGGGCTTCCATCTGTGCCCTCGCTGTCCCTGGCAGGCACAGCTGCTGCCCCACGGCCACAGGGTCACCCTGCAAACCCCCCTGTCCCTGCCCCACACAATGGGGACACTGAGGCTCCTGCCCCACACTTCTGATCCCTGTTCCTCTTCCCTCTCCTTCCCCCACTCAGTGCAGCCAGGCAAGCCAAAAAAGCAACACAGCACAAAGCAGTTGTATTTCACTTTGGTACATCCAGAACTGGCAAAGGAGAGAGAATGTGTTCATTCTGCAGTAAGCCCTGCCAATCTGTGCTAACCATTTTATGCTGGAACACTAAAAGCACATTTATCCAAGATATATATGCTTCATAAGGAGCAAAAATAAATGCATATTAATGCAAAGGTTTTTGTTACAGACTGCAGAAAATGACCTGTCCTCTAAACATTACCATCCTGGCAGAGAGGTGTCAGAGTATGCATTACATGCTCTGAGTTTGGAGAAAAGGCTCACTGAAAAGGTTGTGACAGACATGCTGTTTTTTCAAGTATGAAATGAGCATCAGTGTTTAATTCTGAGTTACATTAATTATGGGGTTATGCAATGATGGTTTCTCTGTATCTTTAAAAAGTCAATTTTTAAAACTGTTACTGCAGAGATGTTTTAAAACAAAACCATACATCACTTTTCCTGGCTTCCAAAAGATATAAGGAACCACTTAAAAAGCACTGAAAACCACGACAATCTTACGTTCTTGACTAAACAACCAAAAAGAAGATTAAAAAGGCTTCTTCTGATGAAGGATGCTGTTTTCTTATCTGCCTAAAGTACAACACTGCTGCTCAAGTGAACCACTGCTCAAGTGGATAAGGGGAGAGCAGCCTGTGCATTACAACAAATCACCACGATGGAGCCTTCCCTGACTGCTGTTAATATCTTGTGCAGTGCTCCCAGTGTAACATACTTCATGCTTCACTACATTCATCCTTTCACAGCAGCTCCTTCATTTTGGTTGACCACAATCCTATAAATCTTTCCCCCAAGCACACATGTTGACCTTCAGGCTACAAAAACTAACAGCCTCGGATATCCAAGTCAGCACTTCCAGAATTAGCCTCCTACAGAAGAAAAAACAAGTGAAATTGGTGCTGAATGTTCTGCTCTTGACAATATTCACTATGAAACATGTCCATGTTTAATTACACCTACACACAACTATATGTACCTCCATATATTTCTATATATCAATTTCTATATATAAAGAATCAGCTTGTATTTTCTGTATCTCTGATAGCCTATTAAACTGTACAGATTCAAGATTTCAGGCAGGCAAAAATAAGGAGGACCAAAGTCAGATGGGAAAACAATTAAGCTCCTTAAGTCTACCTTCAAAGAGCAAAAGGGAGCGAGTTGAACATACCTACCCAAAGTATTTTTAGTCACAGCTACAATTACACCAGGCTAAGTCCACCCAAAGGACAAAACCAGGGACCATGCACATCTTCTGCATTCCAAACCACTTCCCTGTCTTACAGCACTGTCAAACCTAATTTAATACTCTGAAGATTTTGCTTCCACATCCAACAGATGTTGGAAATTTAATGAAGCTTGTACTCCAGTGCAAAATATTATTGAGAAACAAGCGTGGGGGGGTTTGTTACTCTATTTTTTCTGTGAATAAATTAATCCATTACTGTTTTGACAACCAAGCATTGAACACATTTTAATCTCCTTCTTCTCACATTGGGTGGGGTCATTGTGAGAGTTTTGCCACATTGTTGAAATGTGGTTTTCCCTTGAACTACTGCTAAACGTTCTCCATCTTAAAGATCTCTACACATTGCTTCCAGAAACAACCAAGAATTGTTTGAAGGAAAAAACCTGAAATTAGAAAATGAATGCACTGCTGCTTGGTGAGCTGGAATGCACTATGTTAATTCACACTACGAATTAGCTGCAGATAAAAAGGTAATTATGTGGATGAAGCTTGGCAGAGCCAGTTTCAGGCATATCTTGGTTAAAGATTGTTACAAGGCATTAGTACTTGGAGACAAAGGCATGCAGAGGCAGAAGTGGAAGATTTGTACAGGGCCATCAGACAGTATCAGCAAGGACACTGGACACAAGAAATTTTATTCTTAACCTGTAATCAGTCATTGCAACAAACACCCCAGCCCACTGCCTCCCCTCCCACCCAGAGAAAAACCAACCACAATTTACAGCCTGCCTCTCTAAATTACACATAATCCCTAAAGACTATGAGGTACCACATCAGCAGCAGTCTCTAAAGAAAGCTCCACCAGTAATACTTAAAATTTTGAAATAACAAATGCTGCAGTTAAATACTATCATTTCTACTGTTATTATGAGGCAAAAAAAAAAATCAAATGAGCAAACATACAAAAAGTATGATGCAAGGCTGGAAAGTTTGTATGTTTTTTGGAGAGAGACATCATTCCTCAGAAGTCTTCCAAATCATTCCTCTCTCAAGTCTTCCAAAGAATCAGCAAGACTATGTTTAAAAGTAATTCCATTTCTAAACACTTAGCATTTAAAAAAAACTTTTAATATTTATCCTTATAGAAATGGCTCTTCAAACAACAAAGCTGAAAGGAGAAAAGGAAAAAGGTCCTCATGAGGGCACATAACTTAATAAAGGATGGGGTGGATGGGGGAAGGAGAAGGAAGAAAAAGTTTTCACAGTGGAGCAAAATAACTACTGCATTCTGTCAGGCTTTGCAGAGACACGTCCTGAGGATGAGCTGGGAGGTGACAGTGTCTGCAGACTGGTCTGGAACGTGACTGCAAAGCACCACAGATGGATCTCAGGATTCTGAGCAAGAAAGCAGCAGATGAACTCTAATATTAGTATGGCATGTGGGGAAAGAAACAGCCCTTGCTAAAACTATAGAAAGAGAAGATCTAAATAGACTATTTACACTCATGAAGGATTTTGGAGTCATTATAGATGGATTCCTAAAAACTACATCCTAAACAGCTGTTAAAAAGGCAAGGCAATTATAAGAATCACTAGGAGAGTAATGGAAAACTGAGGTGTCATTGTATCATTTAGATTGCTGTTGGGCATTTATACCTGGAATAATCTAATCTAGTCCCAGTCTTCCCATTTCCAAAAGCACAGAAAGATAAAAAAGGTGCTAGGACCTGTTTACTTATTAGAAAAAGCAATACTGACAACAACTTCAGGAATTTACAGACTATGTGATCTCACAGACAGCAAGAAGAAAATGAATCAGGAGTGGCTGAATTCTGCTCCAGCAGATCAGCTGCATGCTCTGAGCCACTCACCTAACATTCAACATAAATGAATCCCTAGACATTAGACTTCCAAGTAGCAGATCACTGTGGAACTCATCATCCCATGAAGTTACAAAGACCAAAAAGTAAAAATTGATTAAAAATATTAAATTCCCAAGAACTGAGCCGTCTATTTTATTAAATACCACGGTCTGGTCCATACACAAGCTTTGCTGAAGGATGTATTAAATCACCTGCACCTGAAAGCCAAGAAGTATCATTCTATGTTATTGTTTCCCTAGGAGATGCTACAAGACACTTTCAAAAACAGGTCATGGGCTAGACAGACTCCAAGAACTGACAAACTGATATAAAGTGCTAGTCTGAAAAGCTTACAGAGACAGAGATGTCACCTCTCTCACATCATACAGAAAAATGATTGGCTGGGATAAAGAGAGGAACAAGAAAAAGCTCAGGGAATGGGAGAAGTCTCCAGCTGTGGAAGTCCCAGGTAACACAAGAGGTCACAGCTGTGTCCAAAGGAAGCAACACTTAGCATTGCTAGTAAGGAAAACAGTATCACATCATGCTTTTCCCAAAGTTCTTTTACTGCCTTCAAGGAAAGCAGTATTTAAAAAGATAACAGAGTCACCATATACCATTCTCACCAGAGAAACATGAGCTAAGAAGTCCTAGTATCTGTAATTATGAAAATCCCTTCATGTTCCTATTTTTCTAAATTCATAATCTCAAATTCTCTCCATTTATATTCTTCAGATCTATAAAGATTTCAGGAGATTAAGAAGAAATACTAGAAATTGTTATCTAATGGTACTTCAAAAATACTCTAAACCATTATTAGTTAATTACTCTAAACCATTATTTCTCCAGAGCGGAAAAGTAACATTTTCTGCAGTAGAAATGAAATTATTTCCCAATCCACTAGGTGTAACTGTGTTTTAGCCACAACTGGAAAACAAAACAAATACCTAGAAGTGCATTAAGCACTCTATGCTTCAGAATTAAAATCTGCATTTGCTAAGCAAAAAGGTCTGCAGCAGCTGGTCTAAGGGAGAGGCTCTCCATTTTTATAAAGTCTAATGTTTGACAATATCCCAGTGAAATCAGTCAGACAGAATAAGCTCAATTACCTTATTCACTCAGCATGTTATTTCTCAAGTGAGGCAAAGATTTCACAGCCTTTAAAACAAAAATGCTGCTTAACACACATTACAAGTTATGTCATCTCTAGCACCTGCTGAATGCTGTGACCAAACTTTAAAAACTCATGCTGTCTCTTTTTTTTTCACAGACAAAAGTAGCATTTCCACAGAGAGGAAATGTGTGCAATGAAAATCATACCTATATCTCAGAAGTCCAGAAGAGTGACACAATGGAGCATGCATTTAATCTCAATTTAGTCCAAGCACCCCCATGACAGGAAGCATGACCAATGAGAATTTATTATTCTCTCTTGGCAGCATGCAGGGCTCAGTGGCTCAGTTAAGAGAAATGAAAAGCTCATCTCTGTAAAATCTAGCATCTTCCTTTCAAAGGTGGGCTCTTAATGGGCTCTCCAGAGGTACAAACTATGCATCCAGGGCAAATTCACCTAAAGCATTTTAAACATAATTACAGATTCATTTCATTTAAAGCAGGTCTTGGGATCTGGAGATGAAAGAGACAACAGTCATTTTTGATACATTCTGAACATTCCCAGACAGACATCCATCATTGTATTACTGCTGGAGTTTCATGAGCCTATAAATTCACATTTCTGACCCAATTCATTGTCTTAAAGAAAATCTATTCCACAAAATATTAAAATTTTCTAATACTGAAGTATTTGGATGAGTCCAAACACTTGATTTGATTTAACAGTGTGGGAAATCCAAGCAAGCAAGGCTGGGATAGAGGAAATGTGAGCAGTGAGACACAAGGACTGACAGTTACTACTGCTGCTCCTTGAAACTGGGAATGATCAAAACCCAAACTTTTCCAGCTATAAGCAGATTAGCTGTGGCTCTCCAACTGCTGATAGTTTATCAAATCAATCTTCAGGCTCATAAATCCATTTATTGTTATGACCTGCACATCCTTCTTTTTCAAGATAGATACACTGGCAATTCACAGAAATCTTCCTATTGCCAACAGAAGTTGTGGAACTCAATTTGTTATGTGCTTAAGTAAAAAGTCAACTCACAAACAGCTGAACTCCCCACAGAAACTTAAAACTGAGAAAAATCCAAGACTTCACCTTGCTACAAACAGCAGCTGGAATCTTCAAGGAGGAAATGCATGCACAAAACTCATGTGTGCACCACTGCTGACTGAGCTATCAGATCAGGTACATTACCTTTCAGCTTTATTTCTCTTCACAATTTTAAACCAATTAAGCTAACTCAAATCAGCATGAAATAAAGGTTACAGACAAGGCACAGTTTCTCTTCCTGGCCTAATGCTATCATTAATGACACACTCTTAAATCTTCACTTCATGCTGCATTGGTTTTAGTAGATCAGTGTCTAATTGGCACCAGTTAACTGACTGGAGTGAAATCTGCTGTTATGAATTCATCAGTACTTCTTCTTACTCATTCAGTTGAGATACAGATTAAACTGAGTGAAAAGTAACTTTCAAGGACACATTATGTGACTTCAGTGCATCAACATATGGAAAGACAGTTCACAAAAAATGTCCCAAGACAGTGTCTGTTTAACACATGCTAAATTACTCACACAAGTGACATGTCTCTGAGTACAAATGATACCCAAAATAGCTTTGCTAGGGGAGCAAAAAAGTGATTAACTATATAACCTTGGTAAATGAAGTGAGTTACTGAACATCAGTTTTGCTCTTGCTTCATTTTAACAAAAGCAGAGCTGGACCAAATGCTCCTCTCTCTAGCTTGTGGGTCCAAAATTCAGGAGAGTGTGGTTAATGAACATGCATTTTAGAGACTGAGATCATAATACTTTGCATTTATCTGCTACCTTAAAAGATTTCAGGATGGGGATCCTGTAAATTGTTTAGTGAGTGCACTGTATTCATGTGCCAAACAACAGCTGTGCACACTTGTAAACCCTCACACTGAAAAATCTGGACAGTTGTTGGGGCCCAAGAGTCTCACTCAGAGAAGAACTGGATCACAAAAACAGCTGAAAAGCAGTTTATAAATTGAAAGATATTAAATCACAGAGTGGGTCCCAGCATGGTCAGGGAATAATTCTCAAAGACCAAATATTACAGAAAAACTGCTTTGGATTTGCTTCCAATAAGAGAAGCTCCGCAACACAGCAATAATAATGAAAATTGACATACAGGATAAGGTAAGCTGGTCAATTAAATAAAACCCCATAGAGAGAAAAGGTGAGCCCATTTTATGTAAAATCTGAAAGCAACTTCACAATGCTAATTGCACAACAACAGACTTTGCAGATCTTTTATTTGCACAACAAACTTGGACACAACAGTCAGCTTTACTCTAAATCCCTCTGCTTTGCTGTATGGGCAACATCAGATTCAAAACAAAGAAATGCAACAGTCACCATGCACTAAAAAGTCTTAATCAGCATCCTAAGTCAGCTTGTTTGTGCAGCTGGAACTTGCTGGTAAATGCAGAGCTTGGAAAACAAGCTCTCGTGAAGAAGCACAGAGCTACCACAAAGAATTAATAGCACAACAAAGGATGTTGCAAAGTAATCCAATTTATTACTCTCACAGGTCCACTGGAAACATGTAAAGGAAAAGCATTTACTATTGGAGAGCAGACATTTGATGTCAGGACTAAAATTGCAAAACAAAGTAGAATGACATCACTTCAAAAAGGAAAAGAAAAATACTGCAAGCAGTTAAAAGTACATGAAGACTCTTGGAGTAGATAACTGACTTCCATCTGTAACATGAACGAGTTCATATTAAATGGTGATACAGATTTCATGTTCATTCTGACGCCAGAATAGCTCCCGGTTTTTTCCCCAAATCACTTTTTGTCAGAATCTACTATTACTTAACACTGAACTAACAGGATGGCTGAAAATGTGCTCAGGCACATTTCAATCAATAGTTCAGATCCCAAAAAAGAAAATATATTTTTCAGTCTTCATGTGATCTGATATTACACCATTGTTTCTCTCTGATATAGTGGCACATTTTCCTGGCTCAGCATTTGTCAAGCAGGTGCTTTGAGAGCAAGTTTCTGCTGTCACTGACCTAACCTGGAATTCTTTTCCAGCTCATTGGTGAATTTTGTCAGTCTGTGAACTACTACACAGATGTTTTTATTTCTTTTTTCAGTTATAATAAAGCACATTATTTCTGATTAGAGTGCTTGCATAATTATGCAGGAGAAAAGCTGTCCATAATTCCTAAGTAATTTAGGACAATCTACCTCATGGCCAGGACTATGCCAGCTACAGTCAGCTGTCCTGGCTGTTGAGCTCACACTGAAGAGCTGCTTCAATGTGACAAGGTTTGGCTTTAACAGTGTTTGAAACAGAGCTGTATTTTAATTGCATCATAAATATACATATGACTTAGGATATCAACCAAGTTATTATTCAGTTAGAAATGTTTCTAAAATAAGAGAACCTTCAAGCAGCCAAATTCATGCCTTACCTTGTGAAAGGCACTGATTTGCCAGAGCAACCTGTCCAGAGTGTAGATACAGATTGAGACGTGTGAAGATACTGCTCAGAGATGGAATTGTAATGAAGCAGAAGGCCACACAAGCCTAAAGTAAATTTTAAAAAATTGAATAAAATTCCTATCTCAGAGTTATAACAATCTTTACTGATTTAATACACAACTAGGAATCAAAACCCATAAATCAGTTTTGGAAAACATTTTCAACACAAAGCAAATATTATTGTGAAGACCAAAATCAGCAACTTTAAATTTCTAATGAGTATTTCAATAATTATATAACTTTTTCAATTGTTGCTATTACTAGATAAGCTCAAAACTGACTCTCTGTGACTGTAGCTCAAGGAGTTCCTCTCTCCTCAGGTAACCACCTTGCAGCTCAAGACCAAAAGCTAACTAGAAAAGGAGAATAGTGTCCTCAGGGGAAAGCCATCTGCCCAGTGGTCAGAGCAGGAGCCCTGAGTGCACAGGGAGGAAGCAGATGTAGCCCAGGTGCTGCAGCCCAAAGCCCGGGACAGGGCAAGGAGCCCCCAGGCAGAGAGAAGCCCCCAGGACAGCACACAGCTGCCAGGAACTGCAGCACACACAAACAGCTTCCCACGTGCAGATGGACACACCTTGGTTGCCACATTGCAGGTTAGAAGAAGGGAACACAAGCAGCCTGGATATCCTGTGATGGCCTGTGCACAGTTCAAGGCACATTTGACCATCTCTACATACACTCAGAGGAGATAAAGCTGAAAGGAGGACCTTATTTGAAATTCAAATCCTGATTTCAGCATATCAGCACTGATATTATGAGACAGAAGTTTGAATATATTTTATACCCCATCTCCCATTCTCTCTATAACTGTGAGTTACACAGAAATTTAGTATTTTATTTCAAATATAATTTGAAAAGCTGAGCTTTCCAGAATTCACACAAACACCTCTCTGGTGAACCTTCCTTTAGAGAGGGAGTCAGTCTTGCTGCTCTTTTTCAACACAAAGCTGCTATTAGATGCTTTGGGTCTTTTTTTCCTTAAACATCAACATTTGGCTTTAGAGAGGAAAGACTGCTCTTAACAAGAGAAAATGGGACTACAAACAGTGTCAAAAAATACAAACATACTGGTTTTGCAAAAATGATAAACTTAGGTGGCAGCAGACAGTATTATCTGCAAAGAAAGCAGGCTCAGAGTTTATTAGTCAGACCTACCCTGACAAATGCAGCAGTCTTTCTGGAATGATTTCCTTTCATCACCCTTCTGGTTTCCATTGCTAGCTGATTCACAGACTACACACACAAAACAAAAGCAAACCATTAAGAAAAATGCACAGCCTCAGTGGCAAGTGACAACCTGCATGTTCTGCTGCATGCATTTAGAGAATAGCCAGTGTCCAAAGGAACCCTGACACACTGTGTCCCTACTGTACTATTTACTTTTTATTGGGAGAATGTTGGTGACTTCCTTAAAGCAAATATAACTAAATTTGTGAAAGTAGACTTGTTTTATTCAAGCCTTTAGATTATAATTTCCTTCCCAGCTATGGTGCTATCACCTCCTTGCTAGCATAACAATCATGATTTCTAGCTAACACAGATTAGAAAACCATAAACCAAAATAACAAATGGATTTAAGGGAAGATACAATGCTGCAAAGGAATCAGATGCAGCTAATGCACACCTGTGACTCAATATAGAGAAGAGATTAACCTTCCCAAGCACAGCAGGACTCTGCCTGGATCTGCAGCCAGACACAGTCTAATCTTTCCTAGATGGAGGATTACAGAAGAGGCAATCCAAATTCTGAATGCACAGAAGTGTCATTTATTTTTATACATAAAATCTCTGCAAGGTAGCCCATTTTCTTTGTTGCAATGGTACCATGCATGACTGCCAAGCAAGAACTTCAGAGTGTTTAGGGGGATAGAACCAGAGATGAGATCAAAGCTCACTTTATAAACACCTGATTAAAATACTTCAGACTTATTTTGCAATACACCAATAACCTGAGCAGGGAATGGGAGAAATGCAAATATATTCCCCCCAAAGGTAGATAAACTGTGGCTTACATGAATCAGCTGGACTAGAACAGGCTCCAGATTGCAAAACATTGATCTGGCTTCAACATAGAAACTCAGCTGCTGCTCAAAGTCACGGCCAAATGAAACCTGTAAGAGAAAAAAGGTCCCAGACTTTACCACTGTAGGCCTTAAATACATGTAAAACTGCATGCAGATAAATCACAGATATTCAAAAGTCAAAATCCCCATATACTGCTAAGGAGAAAACCCAGCAGTAACAACAAATAGCAGTCAGAGAATTTCTGTTCTTTTAACTGTCTGCAATATTTGAGCTTCAGGTTTGTTTCATGAAAGTTTTACTGGTTTGGTTTTTTGGGTGTTTTATCTATACTCCACATGAGGGTCTATCTACTTTATAGATCAAGTATTTTTCAAGAAAACAAAATTTAAATCCTGTTTGTGAAGTGTTTTCAAACCTAGCAGAATTCTTGATTCTTTATGGGAGAGACGAAGGCTTGGTTTTGATCACACTTAGAAAGCAACACAAAAAAACCCAGAATAATAGAAACAGATCTGTAAATCTATATTCAGATTCCTCTCATTTCTAGTTGATAAAGGGCCTTCAACAGAAAATAGCATTTTTCCTAATTAGATAAAACAGTATGAAGAGCAGGTTTTCCTCAAGTTTGGTTAATTAACACATGCTTATATAGTATGGCAAAAGCCTGTAACCTTGCATTGTGGCAGGAAAGAAGTCAAAAAACAACCTTTGTGTGAGAACAACCCTCTTCCAACCCTGAAGATTTAAAAAAACCCAAGTGCTGTCAGCTGGAGTGTCTCAGCTGTCAATTAAAAGTAGAGCATGAGGAACATTCTCCAGGCAGTCTGTATTTATGTATTCTATTGCAATTTTTTTTTCTTAATAGAAGTCAAGGTTGCATTATTTATTATTTCTCAAGTCACATGCAGAAGAATTTTTTACAAAATTAGAATAAAATTTACATTTAATCCATACAGTGAAAGATCAAAGCAACTGCACCAGAAAACAAAGGATTGCTTCTCACATTACAGCCATCTTTGCTTTTCCTCTATTTGTACAACTGCTGATTCTTGAGTCCTAGTCCAAAGAAAATGTACCCAAAACTATAAATTTTTCCACCAAAAAGTCTGTAAGGATGACTGTAACAATTTCTTTTCCCTCCACATCTTAATGTGTGCTGGTTTAAATTCATAGTCATTTTGCTGCTTTGGGATTTTTTTCCCCCCAAACCAGGACTATCAAGACACATCAAATTTTGTTCGGTGCAAGAAATCCTCCTTTAGGAGGAAATTATACTGCATGTAAAGCTTAATAAAGCAAGGCTATATTAGAACATTCATTAGCAAATTATTATAGTTGAAGAAAAAGCAACCATCTAGAGTAAACCCATAGAACTGCAACAAAGAACAAAGAGGACAAGTAGGCACAGAGCCTGACAGCTCTGTGTGAGAGGAAAACCAGGCATTGGGAGTATATGGTTAGAGAATACAGAAAGCTTGAGAAAGTCTCCCTAAAACAGCCTAACATCTCAAAACCAACAGAGACCAACAAAAGATGTATTGGAATAAGAGTGAGGGATGGGCTTAAAGACTGATTTCAAGACAGAACACCTGGGGTTCTCCTGGGACTACTAATTTAATTATATGAATTATTTTATTTATAAATTAAGATAAACAGAGACAGAATAACAAAAAGTTACACTTATTTTGTATTTTTGAAAGCTGGTATTGGTTCCATTTAGAGCCAAGTAGTGGAACTTCCTTCACATAAACCAGTGACCTCTCTGATGCTTCAGTTGCTGATTAACTTTTAAATATGTGCTCTGTTTTACAGATTTACAAAACTAGCAGAAAATGCAATTAAATAAACAACATGTGTACTTTAAACTTTCAGCTTCAGCACTGTGTGACATTTCTTTGAACACAGACATTATCTCACTGAAATGACTGCCTGTGCTTCCTGAAGCAAGTCAGAGACTGGGCTCTGACCCAGCCACACGGGCACCTGCTCCCCGTGGGCATCTCACACAAATCCAAGCTCTGGGGTGCACCCAACACTTGCACACAATGGTCACTCACCATTTTTATGAATCCATTTATCAGAGTTGCTAACATTCTTTTCTCATCCTCAAGTGTTAGTGCACTAGAAAAAAAATTATTTGGTAAATTTTAGAATATTGTTTATCGTATTTATCTATAAAGGGTCAAATTATACATAATATTTTATAAATTTGTCTGTAGAAAACTAATTTTAATGTGAATATCACGAAGTCAGTCATGAACCAATCCAAATTACAGATTTTTTAAAAAGTAAAAGTTGCTGAGTCTCTTTAGACTCTCTAAAAACTCAGACTTTGGCATGAGGAGAAGAAAGCTGATGTTTTTTATTGTAGCAAACAAATGGCTTCAGTCTTGTGTTGCAATATGAGAACTTGAGAAAGAATTAAGTCTAAAAACCTAAAGAAATTAGTAAGTCTATTCTTAGAAGAAAGTGATCCTATTTAAGGAATAAAACTTTTGAAATACCCTTTAAATGTTATACACTGTAGAATACAATAAACATACTAGTTTATTGTTTCATTTGGGGTTTGTTTTGTTTAAGGTTTTCTGTTTTAACCAACCTTGCCTCAGAATTTAAAAAATAATGAACTTCACCTTGCTACAGTGCTGGTTTTCTTTATGTTTCAATAAGAACTGAATTAAACTGATATGTAAAAAAGGAGTTTCTTTTCAAAACTATCAGACACCTATTCTACACCAAGAGTCCAAAACCTGATTTGAAACAAATTTGCATCACATAAAAATCCACTCAGTCAAACCTGTTTCACTGAAAATGGATGAACAAAAAGTTAAATTACAATTAACTAATACAATTTAATCCCTTTACTATTATATGCTTGGCTCCAGCTTTGACCTTTAGTGTATCAGTTACCAATTTCCAACTCAGACACCAGATGGGAAGAGAACAATAGTTTTACTATACAAATTCAGTAAGGGAGGAAAGAAAACCTCAGCATGATGAGCTCATTAGTGCATTGCCAATCAAAAGAGTCAACTGATGGGCTCTGAAAGGCTCAGAAGGCTTGTAATTAGATCTCCAGGTCAGTAATAGGTTTCCAGTTCAATTGTGCATCAGACCCCTAGCAGTGTAAAGGCTGTTACCCTCCAGCAGCTGTTACAGGGGTCACAGAGCCCACACAATGGGCTGGAGTTTCCTCAGCCAGGGTGCAAAAACAGATGCAGGAGTTACTTAAAGATAACTGGAATTTAGGATGATTTACCAAGAGATGTACAACCATCTCAGCTCAAGGAACTGCTGGTTTAAGGGATTTCAAATGCCCCAGTAAATGATCAAATTGTTTTGGCAAAGTGTCAGAGGAAGCACCAGCATGGATTGCTATAAGCTGCTTTATTTTTTTTAATAAGCTGGTTTAAGGTATAATATATTGCTCTATTTGAAGGCTGAAGTGGCTTTTAGTGCAACATACAGCCAAGTAAGTTACTCTAACCCAAAATAAAGCACTCTAGCTGGTATAAATTTGAATTACATGCTAAATCTGACCTCTTTATTGACAATAAATCTTGCACTCATGGCCTATCAAGGATGAGAAAGTTTTAAGTTCCTTTGCAGCATCTGCCATATTAAGAGGCTCTGGGCTCAGAGTGGCAAAAGAGACTGTGCCCTTACAATTCAACCCAAACCAGAAGGAAAAAAAGGAGGTTTTTGTCCTCTTGAGAGCTAGAATTTGCAGCACTGTGATGCTCTGTTTTCAATCAGACACAGATTTTGGTGTGATTTTTGCAAATTACCTACAAACCACACTGCTTTCCACACTGCACAACAGTGAGGGTGCAGCAGGGCACAGGGGATCCCAAACAACCTCAGCTCTCAAAGCCAAGGGCAAAATAGAAGAGGAGAAATTAGAGGAAAGATAGAGATGGTGCAACAGCTTCTCAGTTCTAGCTTCCCCTATTGAAGCTCCTAGAGATCTTCCAGGTTTTCTTTTAAAGTCTTTACAATCTTTCTAATGCCTGAAAACACTGACCCTTAAAAATGTATAATTGAGTATGGCAATCTGTGCTTTAGTAGCTACACATTCACTTGAAACTCAGAAATAGCTTATTATTCACTATAACTCAAAGATTACATTGGTTTCACCCTCAAAGTGTTTTGAAGATTGGATTGCAAAGTGTCTCTGCTTCACTGGAAAACTACAAAACCACTGCTACTTCCTTTTTAAAATTCTGCTTCAGCAGTAATTAAAGAGCAAATGGGACGTGCTGCCACTTCACTGCACAGCTCTTCCCTCAGCACTAATTGGATTCATGTCTTAATCCACCTTGAAACAAACAGCCCCAGAAACACGAAACCACTTCAGGCAGCCCCACTCTGCATAAAGAGAGCTCTCAGCAGAGGTTCCTCTTACTTCACAGAATCGTGCATGGTCTTGCAGACGTGCAGGAGAGCGTTGAGTATAACAGGATCCTTCGTTGGCTCCTGCTGGTGCCTGCAAAGGGTGTCAGAAAAACGATTAAAAATCCTGCTCTGTCAAAATGGAAAACAATTCATAGAATAACACCCATTTAATGCATCATTTCAATCACCAGCACCATATGACACTGCACAAATTTTAAATTCACTTGTGAACCAATGAACATCAATGATCACATGGTTAATATGGGTAGAATTCCAGTAAATGCCAGCCAAGAAATATTATCTTAAAATACACAGCTGCATTGCCAAGCCACAGACTCTGATTCCTTAAGGGACACAGTAAGGTGGACATGTGATACACTGAGGCAATCTAAGAACATCAAAATAAAACCATCCTGGATTTACCAAGATATATTCTAATTTCTCATCTACTCAGGGACAGGCAGGAAGGATCAGTGTCAGGTTTAGGTACACAGGCACATGTGCAGTGCAGCTCCACTAAGATGATTAAGGGGCCACAGCATCTCTCATGTCTTGGCAGTAAAGCCAAGAGAGCTGGCCTCGTGTGCCCTAGGGGAGAGAAGGCTTGGGAGGCTCAGCAGTGAATATAAATACCTGAAGGGAAGGTGGAAATGAGAAAAATGTTTCAAGAAACTTCTTAATTGTTTGAAAAGGACTGCTTAACTTTCAGAACAGTTGAATGTATTTTCATGTTCTAAGTTCATTTTCAACTGTAGCAATACTCTATTCTGTGCTGTCACAGCAACTGGAATGTGAAATAAATTTCATAAACTGACTAAGGCAACACAAAAAAAAAATTAGCTCAGACAACAACTATTCTGTTAACCCACAGCAAGTCAGCATTAATATAATTACTTCAACTTTCTTTGTGAACAGTCAAACAGTCCATCAATAAATTAACAAAATTGACACATTTTCTTTTTTCTTTCCCATAGCCTGGAAACCTTCTTAGATTAAACAGCCAATATACTGACTCTTCTTCCCTAGCCATCTTTCAGTAAGTTTCTCAGAGCCTCCAGAGTGCATTTCACTTCAACAGTCTCCACTTACTTAATAAAAGACTCCATAATGCACTTGCAAACCTCCACTCTCACACTTTCCTTCTGGAACATATCCAGAAAAGGCAAGAATTTCTCCTGAAAGTACAAATACATAAACAAGTAAAATTAGGTGTGTTACAAGCAACACACTTATTTTGGATAATTTTTATAAGCACAGCAATTTAGGTAAAACTATGTTCATCTGTTTTGAAAACAGTAATTCATCTCCACGGATGAAAAAGTGGAACTAATGGGAAAGGACTGATGGTTGAAAGATGTATCAATTTATTGATCACAGAGAGCCAGAAGGGAACACAAAATACAGAACTGTTTGAATCAAATGTTGCACTTTATTTTTAAAAGCAATCATATGCTTCAAACAGCTTAGGGTCATCACAAATTCAGACATCAATAGGAAAAAAAAAGGAAAATATTATATACAATTAAAATAATCTACACATCATCAACAATTTCACATCTATCCAGGTATAAGGTATAAGACATACAATTTCCTTTTATTATATACAATTAAAATAATCTACACATCATCAACAATTTAACATCTATCCAGAGCAAGTTAAGAAGGTATAAGACATACAATTTCCTTAAAAAAACAAGGGTCTAGGTCGTTTAACATACTAAAATACTTCATGTCTGTATCATCTCAAGAATATAGCGAGGGTAAGTTTTTCAGAATTATCCAAGCAATTTGTGAACAAGGCTTGACCCCAAGTCCACAGCATCAGTCTTGAGTTTCACTTTAAATGGTTTCTGTACTGTGACACACACTTGCTGTCTTTGTTTCTATTTTTCTACCTCATACAGAGTCTCTGACCTCCCTGAGTTCCACTTTGCTCCAATGCCAAGTGAAAGTGCAATGAGAGGGTATGATAAGTATGTATCATCACACAGAAACAGCTACCAGCAATTACATTAACACACACACAAATAAATGGTATTTCATCTTCCATTCACTGTCACTTATGCCACAGTAACAAACAAACTTAGAGCATTTAACAGCCTAATGAAAAAAGTATAGAAAACTGGAAATGGAATAATAAGTACTTAAGTAGTAAGCAACAGAAAGCTCACAAAATATTTCTGCACTTAGCTACATGACAAAAAGTCCTTGCATTCTGTGAACTTGTAAACAATCTAAATATCCCAGACAAGGCAAATTCTCTTGCAGAAAAACTGCCAAACAGTTCTTAAAAATGTATTAAAGAGAATATCACTTACCACTGAAAAAAGCAGAGCAAAGTCATAGATATAGGTAATAACTTTCTGAATAATTGACTGCAGCTAAAGGGTAGAAAAAGGAAAAGTTTAAAAAAGGGGAAAATTATTGTAATACGAGTTAAATTAAGACTACCCACACCAGAGATTATTCTTCTTTAGTTATTCATAGAAGACTCTTTTGAAAGATGTTTCAAGCACTCACCAACATAATCTCTTTCCCCAGAGTGGGACAAACTATAGCTATGCTGTTCCTCCACACTTTTCCTACATACCCTTCAGAACCCATATTGAACAGAGCCTGGCCAGCCTGCCCAGGCTTTATTTGCTCTTCACTTCCATAGTTAAGCACATTTTTTTAGAGTCTCCATATCCTCCAGCTCTCTGCACTAAAAATCTCAGCCAAATAAATAAAGAAAGAAAACTCAAACCAGTTTGTTAAACCTTCTTTTGTAGGCACTTTTTCTACCCTCCAAGTAACCAACTAATCCATATCTCATCTGGCATTCAGTCAAGAACTGGACACAATAATTCACTGAAGCCTTAACAATGCCAAGTAGAGATGGATTATTTTATGGTTTACTTCTGTTTAAACAGCCTATCATGATTGCTAATTTCCTTCAGCAAACACCACTGCTGATGTAGGAGTTAACTCTTGCTACTTCTAAATACATAAATCATTCAAGTTTAGCATTTCTCAGAATTAAAAGACTGATGTGCATGGAAAGAAAGGAGGAATAAATCACAGCATTACAGTGTTCCAAGAGACTTCCCAATTTGAAACTAGTGTTTAAAAATAATTGTTTTGTTATAAAAGTTATCAATAATGTTTAAGAATTTATTCCACCTACGAAAATGCACATGAGATTTTTACAGATTTGTCAAAACAAACTCTTTACCTGTGGGTAAGCATCTTCAAATGCTCGATCAGGAGTCATGTGTTTGATAACATCAGCCAGAACCGTATTGACCTCTCGCTTCTGTGCACCAAAAAACAAGGTTACAAAATGAAATTGGCACATAAATCAAGTCACTAAACACCAGCTGAGTAAGATAATTTATTTCCATTTGCCAAAGCATCAGCTTTTTACAGAGCTCTAATTAAGCCAGGAACTTTAACCATAGCTCCAGTAAATCCTTACTTAAACTGACCCATCTGCCATTAAAACAAAAGGATAAGAAATGCTCAGTGCTGTGGGGTAGGAAAGCTTCAAAGCTGCATCTTTTGTCCCCATTCATCTTCCATGAAAGGAAACACATTTTTTCATTCTTACACATTTATAGTGAATAGTCAAACCTTTTCATCTTTAATACCAGACTGCCAGCACAGCCACTTAGTCTGTATCAGAAAAATTCAAAGGAAACAAAGTAATTTCCACCTACCGTAAAATGTCTGCAGGTATACTCCACCCACACTTCAGCACAGTTGATATAATCCTAGAAATACATGTGTCTCATGACTACCAATATTTGCAGGAGACTGTGAGAAATACACTTGCAAAAATGACACTTGAAAGAATTAACTTCTGAGGTATGATTCATGCAGACCTAAAGATCTAGAACTCAAAAGCTGCATTTGGGTAATAATGTTGTGTAAAATTAAGTTACGCATCAGCAGAGCTAAGAAAAGCAGGGATGATCCAAAGATATTACAGCCATTACTTATTTTTTTGCAACTGTGTGTATTTAGAAAAGGTAAACAATGTCATGCCTGAACAACTGGCTACAACTTTGCTCTAAACACAGAGTCAGTAGTGAAACAGAATGGACAGTAACTCACCTGTGGGTTCTTCAGCTTTGTTATAACCTTCCAGGCTTCGTTTAATATTTGAAGGCGATCATTTTCAGGAGGATCAGCCAATGCCAAGTTTAATCCCAGGGAGCGAAAGAGGAGATGCTGACAGTTAATGAGAAATTTTTAATTAAAAGCAGACAATGCATGTCCATCCAAGACTGGTCTGGCAGGTACAGTGTGCAGAAAGATTCTCAGATCAAACCACTTGAATAATTTTAATCAAGTGACACACAAGTTATGTAGGCAACTAAGAGCATAAAGACCTCTGTCAAAGGAAAGGAATTGGCACAAATTAGATAGAAAATGTTACCTTTGGGAATCCAGACTCATCACACTCTTTAATCATGCCAATGAAGTCCATTGATCTTGCAGCAATAAACTCTGCTCTGAACGCTGACATGACTGAATTCAGCAGCAAAGCACTGCAATGAACAACACAGATCAATACAGCTCAACAGCAGCTCAAACTTAATAGTACCTGCATTTACATCAATCTGAACTTCCTAGACTAACAACTGGGCAGCATCTATCATAAATTTTAAGAAAAGAAAGATAATTAGGAAAAAAAGAATCCCACACAAACTGAGCTTGCTTTGATGAGAATTAATGATGCATAAGCAAAACAAGAAAACATTAAGCCATCAGATAAGCAAAGGTAACCCAGCCTGTAAAATACTTCTTCCACACAGGTGTTTTTGAAGCCATCATTTAGAAATATCAAGGAAATCAGGAGTAGCTGACATTTAGAAACTTACTCTCTGTTTAACTACAGTTCAGAAGAATACTTAGGGAGGGCAAACCCCTATTGACATTTTAATTAATTATATATGCATTATAAAAGCCACATTTCTAGCAGCTGCACTGATAGGATTAAAATGACCCAGTCATGGTCATGTGAAAACTGGCAATGACATATTTAGACATTTCTGATTAACCACTCAGACAGGTATTTGTGTTACTATCAAGCCAAAGCCACAATGGAAGAGTGAACTCACTGCATCACTGTAATATCAGTTTCCTCAGCCATCAGCTAGCTCAAGAAGCTGCCTCATAAAACACTGTGCCCTTCACTAGTCTGAAACAGACAGTTTGAATACAGGGCAGCTTACCTTGAGGGAAATTCTGTGAAGTGCTTAAAATAACCCAGCAGCTTCTCTGTTTCTGCCTAAGCCTTAGTGGTCCCATCCCAACTTGACTGGAATTTGCATTTTATCATTAGACAAGCACTTCCAGGTCATTAGGTCTGTGCTTTGCAATACAGAGAGAAGGCTGTCCCTTTTCACTTAGATGGCTGCAAAGTAGCTCATGGAACATATTGAGATTATTTCAAGATTTATACACTGATGCCTTTTGCTTTGTAGTATCTTGACAGTCGCGAGAAGACACAAACACACAGAACTCCGCTTTGAAAGAAGACTACTGTTTTAAACTGGATTACTCAACTTCCCAATAAAAAAGACATCTCCCAAAAACATTTCTTTCAAAAAAAACCTCATTATACTCAACACTTCATCCTTCCTTCAAAGAGGAAACAGGAACAAAGAGGAGGAGCCCATCCTTACACTGAAAAATGCTGAAAGTTGATTTGAAAATAAGTTCCACAAAACAATTAAATACCTATTCAAAACAATTTGTACATCAGAGAATGTGAACTATTTTTGTCTGTTCTATACCCACTGATACAATACCACTTTCACAGCACATTTTTTAAATCATGCTTTCCCTGCAGTCCTTAGCTCAGTCACAGAATGCTGGCATTCCTCAGCTAAGTGCTTAACATATTTTAGTTCCTCAGCTGCTGCAGAACTGGACTGTGCAAAGCACATTAAAAAAAATAGCTGAAAACTTTCACAGAACTCAGCCAAGCTACCCAATAAAATGCAGAGAGGAGCCCATCAGCAGGCCAGATGGCATTCACAAAAGCCAGTCAGTACATCCAACTTTCAGACCAAACCATCTTCCTGAACATGACGACCCTGCACAAAGACTTCTAGTAGACATTTGAGATACTAATTTTAATGCTGAAAAAAGCAAATCCCTAAGTATTACCACCTTCCAAAGGTTGCCGGCAGCTTTACAACTTCCCTTGCTGAATGCATGTATGGCCTGACTGTAGCCAGTGGAAGACAGGGGGAAAGAAGGGAAGGAAAACCCAGAAAAGTGAAGCAAAACCAGGCATCAGAGACAGGGCTAAGGGAGAACACATTAGATGTCCTAGACTTTGGCTTAGGAACCAGAATGCAGCAACCAAGTTAAACTAATTAACTTTAGCTTGACAAGTAATCTACCATATTTTAGAATTCATCTCTGCAAAAGAGATGTTCACAATAATGATTTAGTAAGCTACTGGAAGAATGAAAGCTGCACTATGCATCCAAACTGTTTCCAAAAGAGGAAGAGAGAACATTATTGCAGGGACTCAGGGGTACTTGTTACAGACTCCTGTCTTCTACACTCTGCAACACTTACTTGTTCCCCAGCTTTTTGCATCTCTCCATCATCTCAGTAAGCAGAACCTGGAACAATTATTTATTAAAATTAGTGAATTGAGACTTTGCAAATATATTCAGCTTTATTTACTGTACTGAAATCTACTAAAAGCTGTTTTAATTACCTTTCCAATACATTCCCATAGTCCTGTTTTGCCCTGTATTTGCAGCACAAGAAAACAATGGTGTAGCTAAACATAAAACATTTTCTGGAACAGGTATAGTGGCATTTCAATCAAAACCACCATTTTATGGAAGTCAAATATGCAATCCTTCATCCATGCCACTACTCCAGGTAATCACTATTTGCCAGCCAGATCAGTTATCTCTGGCAGGAGAGGTGAAAACTCTGCCAGACTGACAGAGATTAAAACAGCCTGTTCACTGTTAAGCTACAGTTTAGTCAAATCATTTGTATATCTGTATGACAGAAGAAAAGGATGAATTCAGCAAATAAAGATTAAACTAAAGGACAGCAAGAAACAAACAGGAGTACTGCCTATGAACTTGAAGTGGTCACACTTGAGCTTTGTGGAAGCAAACATTCTTCCTGTACAGAAGAGAGCATCAGACAGCCCTATGTAGGCCCTTTTTACCTGCCTTCACACTCATGTAACAACTGACTGAGGGGTTGTTTTCTAGTAACTCTTTTAAATTAACTGTTCACCACAACTTTAGCATTGAGCATTACCAGGTTCACTTACATCTGGAGCATGGTATGCAATACACTGTAAAATCCAGTCTATGGCAGGAGAATATAGGGTCAAATACAAAGGGATCTCCACACATTGCACCACCAGCTGGTTCTGAACCGTATCCCCATGGATCTGTTGAAATAAGAGACAAAAAATATGTTGCTGTGAAGAGATATTAAATGGGAGATATGATAAACTGGTTAAAGTTTGTACAGGAATTCAAATTAAACAGATGATAGCACAAAGGTACAGATACTCTGAAGCATTCTTTGCAAGGTGGGGGAAAAATATCAAGCTCCTAACATATATTATTCAAGTCTGGAAACATGCTGAATAGAGCAGTTTCAACTTACCAGAATGTATGTAAAATTTCCCATACTATATCTGGATAGAGGAACACCCCTAAATCTAGATTTGAGAACTACTAAAATTTTTTTAAAGTATGTGGCAGTTTGATTAAGGAGTGTATTTATCTGATTTTGCAAATAAAACACTTATTTGCTTACTTGTTTGAATGTTAGGAGAAAGTCAAAAAAGTTTTTATTCAGGCTTTCTTTGAGTTGTGGTGCCACTTCCATCCCAACCTGTATTAAAAGAAAAAGATTTTATTGGCATCTATCAATTCTCCTTCAGAGTGAGATGAAAATGCATTTGCTGAAGGAATACACCCAAGTCACACACAACAAATCAACAAACAGCATTGAATCACATGTTTTTGACTGATTATTTCCTTGCTTACTATCAGTCATGTCCACTAACAACCACCCTGAGGCAGTTACAGCTGTTCTTAAACACGATCCTAACATCAGCTCCAAGCATCTGTAAGCACTGAGGGAATCAGTGTCTACTCCAGTGCACTGCAGCAGCCTACAGCAGCACAGAAAATGGTTCTTACTTATTACAAACACTTGAAGAGAGATTCCCCATTTGTAAAACAGAAGAGAAATCTTTTTTTGTTGTTGTTTGTTGAAAGGAAGAGACAGGCTGCTGACTACTTGAGATAAAAGTGGTAGCTCCTTGAAGCAGTGGCAGCACAGCTGCAGCAAATCTTTGGTACAGATCAGAGGAGGTAAATGACAGCCTACCCTGCAGAGGTATGCTCTGGCATAGACTGCAACCAGTGGATCTCCAATTCCTCTAATCATAGCTGTTAACCGTGGGAGACATTCCGAAATGCCCCTGTTTTTATCAGAAATGAAAATGAGCTTCAACAGTCAATAACAGAATTCTATCACCTACAGATAACTTCAGTAGCTGCCTTGTAGACTAACAATTGAGCACGAGTTATAGAAATATCTAAAAGGATACCAGCACAAAAACTTATTTCACAAGTAAAATTTCTGTGTACTGTAATACATATGCTATATTCAAATTACAGTATTTGCTATTCACAACAAGACAAATAAAACTAAAGAACTCCTCCTCCAGCTTCAAGAACAGGAGAGTTATGGAAAAGCTGTAACTCAGTGTAAGGATAGCAGATGCTTAAAGCAGAACTGGCAGAACTCCTTCCACATCTCATTTGCCCACAGGTCCTTTTTGATAGAGACTGGATATGAGGCCCACTAATTCCAGTAAAAGAACTGCTTTTTAGGGATAATAAAGTTGTCACTGTAGTAGAAATTTGGCTTCCAACATCATTTCAAAATATAACTGAAGAAGGACAATTACAAGAGAAGGAACATTTTCTGCTCAGCAGCTGGCACTGTTTGGCAAAACATTAAACTTATACCAAAGTTTTCAACAGATAGTGGTTCATTGCTCCTAAATTATTTCTCCTCCTCTGTCTCTCCCAGTATGATATCAATATTTTCCTTTCAGTTTTCTATCCTGTCTTTTTCCCACACTCCTCATGTCATACAATCTTCCTTCCCCTCCATCCCCAGAAGGCACTACTGCTTTTCAATTTGCACTGGGATTTGGGACACCTGATGTCACATTTGTACTTGTGTTTGAAAACTGAGAGCACTGCTGTATTTCAAAGTGTATTACAGTTCACCTTTAATTTTTTCATGGTATTCTCATTAAAAACTCCAAAACCTCTCTGTACTGCTTCTTCTCAGTTCTACTAAGACCCTACCCACCACTAATCACAGACCTCTTGTGCTTAATTCATTTAATTAGTTCCTAAGTTTGCCCATTCACTTCCTTCCCATTAACATTATTCTTACGTTTTGGACAGGAACTTATTGCACTTCAGTATTGCTGCTTCCACGTAACTACATTGAAGCCAAGTTAAGGAACAAAACTAAGATTCACACCACTAAAAATCCATAAGCAAACATACACCAAATGGATATTGACCAAACTATTTTAAGGCCTTCTGTAATTAATGTCACTACACTTTGCTGATTTTTACAATTTATCTACAAGATTTTGTTTCAAAATTTTTCATGCATCATCTCTGTCACTGCCAAACTGCTCAGAGCCAATAATTAAGCATTCAGTCTACTATGAAACATGACTCAAAAGTACATTCAAAACACACAGCCTGAAACAAACAAAACAAAGCCATTATAAACAGCAGATCCTGGGGGTTTTATTGAAACAAACACATTCACTTTTGGGAAAATCTACAAAAAACCTGCAGACACACTGTGAGGGTCTCCTTTGACAAGGATACAATCTGGGAATGAGTTCTCTGATTGAAGCAATCTTGAAAAACCAGTTTAAGCAAGTTTCTTTAGCTGTATCGTTAACACTCTCTGGAGAAAAGTTATCTGGGAAAAAAACAACCGAGAAATAGTTACATTCTTTCTGGAAACAAGTTACTTTTCATGTTAGGTTTAAAACTGTATTCTCTTTCCATTCATCAAGAAATCAGGTGCACAACAACAAACTAGGCAAGACATTTGCTTTTCAGCTCTCTGGAGCAGCAGTCAGAGCTGAGAACGTAACAAGAAAAGGTAACAATCTTGTAGTAACATTTCAGAACCTGAATTCATGCACTTGGAGCTCATCTCAGAGCTGCTACTGACAAATCCAAGCTCTGCCTCTCCTCTTCCAAAATCAGAAATTGTGAAAAAAAGAAAATAGACAGAATTTATAACAAACACATGTATACAAATCTATAATGACTAGAGAGCATACAAAAGAGATTTAAGCACCCAAGTAGTTTATTTTAAAAGGCTAAAATAAATTTTAAATAATACTATTGTAAGAAGTACTAAATACTTAATATGGACAGAAACCTTGTGTCTGTACCCTGAACATATCCTCTTACAAACTCCTCCTGAAACCAGTTAAAACACCACTCCTGCCTCCAGGAGGTGAGAAGCTCCACAAAAATGTTTCCAATTCCAACATAAGAGAAGCCACATGGTCAGAACCTCCTGCACTCGGTCAGCATCTTTCTCACCTAGAACTTCAGGAGTTCTCATTGAACTTGGTTTCACTTGGTTCCCAAGGGACAAGCTCAGAGGCTGAAATCCCCAAAGGTTCACAGGCACAGTCAGCACAGCACAGATTTTCCTTCTCCCTCCCACTTTCAGAGCTGCTTGGGAAGCTCCCAGCAGCAATGCCTCTGGCAGCTGCACAGCTGCAGCAGGAGCTCAGCTGCCCAGAACAGAGGTAACTGTGCCCAGACATCCTGGTGTGCTGGGGGAAATGCCTGCCTTCAGAAATGCTTGTGAGGGCAGTTGGTCAGATCTGCAACAACCACATTTATCCTAACTATTTTCTTTAGGTTCATTTCAAATTTCAGTATTTGCTGGTTTATGGATTTAACTGCAAACTAATGGTACTGTTCCACTGCCAACTACAGAATGTTTCATCTTGCAAGGATGTGCATTTAGTGCACTCCAAATTGCAAGGAAATGCCTTTCCACAGAAAGTGTTTTCCATAGAATCTTTCATTGTCTTGCTAAAGAGTTTCTTTCACCTGCAATGTCAAATTAGATTTTTACATTGTGTTGGAACTTCAACTGAAAAAGGAAAAAGGGCCCAAGTTAGAAAGATTATGCTAGAAGCAGCCTGCTGCTACTGCCAAAATTCTTCTTTTATTACAGCAAAACTATCAAGCTTCCAGTGCAGCGACAAAAACATCTATTTACCAAAAACTGAGACTCTCAGCTTTGCTACATTTCTACCATTAACTTTAAGCCTACTAAACTGTAGTACTTTCAGAAGAGAGCATATGCTAAGACAAAAAAGAGAAAAAAAATTCTTCCTTCATCTCATTTGGCCATTCCTGCTTAATTCTCTCTCCCCCTAACAAACTCTGTATTAGAGAACTTACACAATTCTTTGTGATTCCAAGTCTCAGGAAGACCCAGTTGACCCAGTTGTTGATTTAGCAACAGCAGAGCCACAAGCAGCACACTTTATTATATCTTAGGTATAGCCTTCACAATAAAAATGTAATTTTGCATGAACACTGTAAACAGTGGAAGCTGCAAGCAATGGATTTTACTCTGTTAAAAACTAAAAGCTAGTGGATTCAAATCAGAACCTTTTCTATAGGAAATAGAGTAGCAGTGGTCCTCTATTTAACCTTCCTCAAGGTTGGACATTATTTTTTTCTGGGGCACAGTAGAAACAAACACAAAGTTACCTGGCAGAGAGACTCTGTTATCCACACACATTGACAGAATTCTTTCATACACCAGTTTGCCTGGTTGAAAAAAAAAAAAAAAAAAAAAAAAAAAAGAATAATTTTTTAAAAATCAAAACAAATTAACAAACTGTAAAACACAAAATGCTGGTACAAAAGTTCCCTTCACAACATACAATGAAATCAGGTGGAAAAAACTTCCTAGAACACTGACATTTTGCTGCCCTCTAGTGAGGCTGAAATGCTCAGTGTGATTTAGCCCTTCTCACACTACAAAAACAATCTCTGGCTCCCTGAAGTGCAGAGGTAACACACAGGTCAGATTCCCCCCAGGCCAGGAAAGGACAGCTGCTGTCCTGACTTTGCTGAGTGTGGATATTATGTTATCTCCAGCAGCCTTCAGCAAGTAGGAAGGGCACAAAGAGGAAGCACAACCTGAAAGAACAATTGGATCTCTGTCGTAGCATATCCTGCTGGCACCAAAATACACTCCAACTTTCAAAACCATTGTAAATATTTTTCATAACATGGCAGAAAAATAAGAGAGCAACATGAAGTGGATGACAAGTTCACTTACAAATTAAAAAATATACTAAAAAAAATCAATAATTACATTCTGGTCATTTCATAGTCCCTATTCAGCCAAAGAAAACTTTCTGACTTCTATTCTTCAAAATACAAAAATAATTAAATATTGAGACAAAAGGGTGCTAAAATCCAAAATATTTTTACAATGACAGCATGTTTTTAATTTCAAAATGCAGAGATCATGACTTTTCCTAACATTTTGTTCTAGATTCACTAATACATAAGGCACAGAACCACAAAATGAAATGTTTTTCTCTTAAGGACTTGGCTCTTAGGAGATTATTTACAATTATATACCATGTTTACACCAGTGTCCAAATGTTTATGCTGGAAATATTCCATGTTACAACTAAAAGTAATTTCAGGCCTTTTTGGACAACTTGGATAACTTTGATACTTTCTAAAATTACAAAAAATAATCTTATTAACATTTGTGTAGTAACACTAGCAGAGTAGATACTTACCAAAAGTATCAAGGATATCTGTAATTAAAACAAATTTGCTTGGATAAAACTGGATTACTGTTGTGTCTGAAAGAAGCTTAGAACACTAGAAGGAGAAAAAAAGCCAAAGAAACATTTTTAGATGCCAACACAAGTTTATGTTTTTACTCCAGAAAAGCTGGAATGGATGAATATCCACAGGTGGAAAGGACCAACATGAACTATGAAGCCAAAGGCACAAGGACATCTAACATAACAGACCATGATACTTATTGTAATTTTCAGGTTATTCTTCATTTCCAGAGCTACACAGACCTGGTTTTCCCTTTGACAGGGTAATCTGCAATGCAGAGTTTCAGCTGACCATGAAGATCTGTGCTTTTGTTCAGACAAGACAAATTCTCTCCCGACAAAGCATTAAAAAGCACTTCTTCTCTAAAATCACTTTTTTTAAGGACACTGTTCACTTTTTCACCATCTCTCTAAGCATCCATATCAAACAGAAAATGTAATATAGACTACATTAAGAAACAATTTTAAAAGTGTAGTTAATGAGCTTTCCAATGCATTCTTGCAGCTCACATAACTAGTTCAAACATTCTGGAAACAGACTGAGCCACAGTCAGCTCCAGGGAGGACTCTGTAATCAACCACCACCCACTGGGACACAACCTGATCATGGCATTTGGCTGCAGTGATGGCTGGAACAAAGTCACATTTGAAAATGTATTGCCCACTTAGTTCTACTCTCATTGGGTGTTCAGGCCAGGCAGGACCATATCCATTGATTGTATGAATCCAAAATACACACTGAGCAATGAAGACATTTCTAACATACTTAATTAAGCTATACTTTGTTGTCCAAGATTAAACTGGAGTCAAAAACTTTGGCAGAAGGTTACTGACAACAAAAAAAAAAAAAAAAAAAACAAAAAAAACCCAGCCTCTACCAAAAGAAGACAGATGAATGACTGACTGGGGAGAGAAATCTACTTCTTCCTTGCTTAAGCCAAATGTGCCCTCTGGCCCTAAGACTGACAATATTTTCTATGAGCTCCATCCTTTCTCTCTCCTTTACCAGAAGACAGTTCTTCAATCTCAGTGGAACAAATAAAGTTTAAACTTTTGTTACATTTCAAAAATCCAGGAAGGAATCCAATATCTCACAAGACTGCTCTGTTTAAAAAAGGAAATCACAACATTTGAACATGCTTAAACAAGTGGCACACTTAGTCTTTTTGCTTTATTCATCAGGGTAATTTGAAGAGTGCACCAGAAAGACAGGTGAGAGCATTTACATCCTACAACCAAAGCAGAATCTTGCCTGCTGTGTGGTCAGTCACCTTCAAAGGAAGGTAACTCAGTAGCTGTTTAGGGCCTACACACAGCACAAACACTTGAGTACCACTTTTCTTAGAGCTCACACTCATAATCATATTAGTTCAGCTTATTCTAAGTAGCTTAGCATACTCCATCTTGACAAGTAAAGTATCTTGCAAAAAGCCACTTGAGGAATCACAGAATCATAGAATTGCTTAGGTTGGAAAAGACCTTCAAGACTGTTGAGTCTAACCTTTAAACCATCCCTGCCAAGATCACCAATAAAAAATATCTCCAAGTGCCACATCTACACATCCTTTAAATGCCTCCAAGGAGGGTGATGCCATCACTGCCCTGGGCAGACTGGTCCAGTGATTGAGAACCTTTTTGGTGAAGAAATTTTACTAACCAGAAGCCAAACTCCTCCTACTGCATAGTAACCAGTCTGTAATAATAATGACAGACTACATATAAAACTACAGCCTGATGCCAAGAGAACTGCTCAGCTCCCTCAGAGGATACAGCACTCTGCAGGAAGAAGTTCAACAAGTTAAGTTCAGTGAGGGTTCTACCCTATCCTGCTTTATTTTATCCTTCATGAAAATTTTAAATTCATTAATTACACAAGCACCTATTTCATTCTCAGGCAGTCTTTCAATTAGTGATGAGCATCTGCAGCATTAAGTGCTATGTGAACAACAATTCAGCAGAGATAAACACATTCAGCTTTGGTACCACTTTCCTAAAAGGAAGCATTGGATCCCCTGTTAGAAATGGTATTATTTCAAAATTGTTTGTGAACCAGTTGCAAAAGAACATATGGAAGTATCAATGCATAGATTATCACTGCATTATCACACACACACATATATATATTATATTTCACACAAAGCACTCTAAGTACAATACATCCCTGCTGCTTTTCTTCTCATCCAAAGACCATAGTCACACTTCACAATCCTATATATGGATTTTTTTTTTTAAATAGCAATAATAGTGCTGATTTCATAGTATTACAATAGTACATTAGTCACCCTAGGTCACATATAATTGTTTGATCTCACTTCATTAATGTTTCATTTCCTTTTTTGTCTTTACCACAATTTAAGATGAAATTACTTCAAGCAGTTTTCACAAGAGTATCCAGAATGACCAAAAAATCCTGACTTTATATAACCCCACTGGATGACTATGAGCATTACATCAGTTTTACAGCTTTTAAGGATGTCATTATCTCATCTGTCCTCTGCTGCACTCTGCCTCTGGCTTTTTTTAAAGGCCAAGCCAAACAAAAGAGCATTTAACTGTCCTATTTCCCCATGCCCTCCTCAAAGCACATTGCCCCAAATGACCCAAAGGAAGACCACGGACAAGTTCTCAACAAACAAACAAAAACAAATCCCATACACACAATTTTAAAAATCTGGAGCTGTTTTTGGTAGCTTGCTAAGGTCCTAAATCCCTTTATTTAATTGCCCTACTAAGTTTAGGTGAGTAAAATGCTGATGTTCAAAAAGCCATTCTGGTATTATTTGTAGGGAGCAAGAGGCTGAAGCAGAAGAGAACAGGAAAGGAAATTGCATGTCCTATAAAGAGCTGATTATCACTACATGCTATTTGTTCTAACTATCCCTAAGCAGGTAAAATTTCCACATCTGTCATTTGGTGACTATTGAGAACTCCAACCCACATGACCTAGTCAAATCCAATATGTAACAACAAAGCTGAAAATCTGTCAGAAGTCATAAAACTCTGGAAGAAATGTGTTTCAGAGAACAAAAGAAAATAATAGAAAAACATAGAAAGCCTTCTTTTCCCAAGAAGGAAACTGGACAAGTTGTATCACCGAACTCACTGGTTCTGCATAGAACAAAACCATAAAACTGACCTGGATGACTATTTTCAGAGCTTTTACTTTCTGATCAGAGGACCATGCATCCTTTAAAGACTGGTTCAGCTCTTCAATTCTGTTCATGTAATCCTGCTGAGTCAAATTCAACAGCTCTTTCTGTGATCCCTGGCAAGAAAACAAAAACCCTCTTAATAAGAGCAGGAGGGAAGGAAGGAAAGTGCTGTTATTATAGACTCAAATCACCATGTTGTGGAGGAGAATCCTACAAAATTTATTACAATTTCCCTTCAGGTCTTAGGAAAGTAGGTTATAAAACATCTCACCCTTGCACAGTAAAATACTGCAGCTTGAGAAATAACTTCAGTACTCAGTATTTCTATCAAGCTCAGAATTGTAACTTAAATTAAACTCAGGTAGACATTTGCAGCTGTGGCAACAGGGACAACCAGAATTATCAGATGTCAAGACTAAGGGGCTCCATAAAGTTTTACAGCACTAAGAAGATAAATCAACAGCAACAGATCAGGTAAATTTTCAAATCACAATTTCTAGTGATACAAAAATATGACTCTGCCCAAATCCTGTAACAATAAGCATTAATTACTGGAGAATTCCCACAGAGAGTACGTATTTATCTAAATACTGCACTTGCAGAATCAGGACCTTTTTAAAAGCTTTCACAAAAGATTTTTATTTCACAAATTCCTTTCACTGTTATAATGATGCCATAATTTCATCAGAAAACTTTCTCACCTCTTCCAGATCATCCAGTTCTTCTAACCTTGTCCTCACTTTTTCAGAAACTGCTGAACCAGTAGTTGTGGCTTTTCCTGCAAAGAATTACAGACTTAAGTTTCTTTAACATTTAAACACTGGGACTTCTAAAGAGAAACAAACCTGAAGGAGCCTGACATGGACCAGTCAGCTTCTGAGACAGAAGACAGGTGGTTTGATTCCTTTAGTGACTATTCCTGAAGACACACATCTAAACACACCTACAGTGCATTCACTTTGAAAGGGGCAATGAGTAAGCAGAATTGAATATGAGTGGATTTTTCTGCAATTTTTACCAGTAAGAAAAGAATCACCAGATAGAACCATAGGATAATTAAGGATAGAAAAGCTCTATGGAGGTTTGTGTCCAACTCTCCTCCTCAAAGCAGGTCCAGCTCTGAAGTTTTAACAGTTGCACAGGGTTATATCCAGTCAATTTAACAATATCTAAGGATATAGAGGTCACACTCTGCCTGAACATCCAATTTCAGTGTTTGACCATTCTCACTGAAAAAAAGTGCTTTCTATTTTTGCAGATGCTGAAATGCTGCGTGTTTATCCATATAGAAAAATCCTGATTTACTATGCTATGATTACCTAGCCCAGATTCTCTTTGCTAGAAAACATGATAAAATATTTAACACTTGGTTCTTTTTTAAACACCCAGCATACAGCTGAAATCACTTCACTTTCATGTAAAGAGAATAACTGAACAAGTTCCCAAAGGACTTGTTTGCTTTCCTTGCAGCTAGCAGAAGAGTTGATAAACATGATCCTCAAAATATCATTGCTCAGTTTAAATGGAAGAAAGTTTTAAGCTACAGTGGAAGGCAGTGCAGTGAAATAATCACAAATTCACCAGCCCATAGGAATAAAAGACAAGGTGGTCAGGTGGCTTATTTTCAATAACTATTTTAAACAAACATCCAGACTTCTTATCCACAAAAAAGCAAGAACCATGATGTCAGAATGGAGGAGGCAGGAAAATAAATTTCAACTATTCTTGACCACAAACCTGTCACTGCACCCTGCCTCAAGCAACCTCTGTTACTGGTAAAGAAAGTGCTCACCTTTTTCAGATCCCATGTACAGATTCTGTGAGGAAGCAGAAAAAGCAGACTGTTAGAAAACATGGACTCACTAGCATTCCAAGAATGCCCAGGGTAATTACACTGCTAATCAACCCTCTAATCATTTAGAAATAGATGCAAGACTAGAAGTTACTTGCATTATTACAAAAAAACAAAGTGATGGCTTCTAAATATCAGAAGACTGGGATTCAGCTCTAAAATAATCTTTGCAAGTGAGAGCTTGTGATTCAGTTTTCTACAACATGAAAACTGAAATTTAGAAGACCAGTATTCACCCATTAAATAATTATAAAACAGAAATATCCAAAACGCATTAAAGGTCTAGTACAAATCAAAACAACTGTGGCAGCCACCACTTACAATAGAAAGCTTCTCTGTTGTTGTGTATCTAGCAAGGATTTCACCACGTTTGCTTGACCATGGTTCAAAGTCACTTCCCACTGCTGAGCTCTCATCTTTATCCCGTTTCCTTCGGGCACCATCCTGTTACAAGAGTACAAGTGCAAAAGTTAAATCCAGATCTGGAAAAAGAAGAGAAGGCTGTCAACACGAAGGTCAACAATGTTTCAAGTGCTAGCTGATCCTTTCAAAAGTTACAATATTAAACAAAATTCTATATTTAAATAAATACGTCAACATAAACCAGATAAAAGTAGGTAAATAAAAAAGAAGTAGCTATATTTCCTATATTAACCTCTTCAGTGAGACAATACATTTTATCCAGGGTTGGCTTTACGGTTTTGTTCTGGTTTTCCTTCACTTAGATGAGCTAGCAGCCCTCAGAGTTACCGTGGGAGGAGCAGCAGTCACAGGATCTGCAGCTGCTGCAAACAAGGACAAGGGGTCCGTGCCGTCCAACACGCTGCTCAGCGGGTCCATCACGGAACTGGAGGAAGAGGAGGAGGTGGAAGAAGTACTTCCCTTCCTGTTCATCTTCTTTGTCTTGGATTCAGTAACCTAAAGAAAAATTCAGAACTATTAAACAAAAAGGCTTTCTCTTCCCTCATTTTTCTCTAATTCTTTTTCTTCCCCCCCCTTTTCCCTGAATGTGGAGGCACTCACTCTTCAGTAGAATTTCTACTGCTTTTTTTTTTTTCCTTCCAATTCTAGGTCCACAAAGTTGTATGAACTGAATATCTTTCTAGTACCCCTCCTCTATTTTATTAGGTTTGTCCCTGTCCTCCTAACTCTTTCTTGCTATTTAATTCCTCTGCCAGTTTCATCTTTACTTTTCCTGTACAACACTCAAGCCTGGAACATAAAATCCATACCTCAGGCCAGCATCTTCTCTCCCTACTGACCTTCCTGAGCAGAAGCTGCTGTCCATTTATCATTCATTAGTGGATAACTCATCTCTTTGAAGCTGATTTTTTTCTGTACATCTTTAAAAGCCTCTTACACATCAAAGAAATTATAAATGTTTTAAAGTACACAGCTGACTGGAAGCTAACCCAAATCCAAACCTTATATCAAGCAATTATGCAGGCCATTTGTAATGCAACAATTTGATTTTAAATGTATCCATTATTCAGCATTTAATGCAACCAAGAAAACCTACAAGCTGGAGGTGCTGTATTTGTCAAGAGACTGTTTCTGACACATAACAGCACCAGCAAACTTCTGTGAAGGGCAAACAGAATAAACCTTGATGCCTTTAAAGCAGGCCACTAACACAGAAAGCAACTTCACAAGTACCACCACCATCCTCAAAGCCTTTTAATTTTAATGGAACAGATGTAAAAAGAGGAACACAGTCTGAATTCAGATTCATTTTCCAAAAGCACAAACAAACTCACTGTAATGGGTTTCAGTGGATGGTAATCACCAAAATCCAAGGGTACAGATTCCAGCTTGCACACTTCAGATTCAGACACATAGTTCCTTGATCTTGCATGCCTTAAAAAGTAAGAGTGAAGGGAAAGTATATATGCATATAAATAACCACACACTAAGAGAGAAGCATATCTTATATCTATACAGATGCTTATTTACAAAAAAACAAAAAACATGTGGAAAAATAAACAAACATAAGGATCCAAATTTCTTTCTACTGAGATAACATAAAACTAAAACTGGAGAAATTTTACTTTCAGCCATTCAGTTGTACTCTTTTTTAGTCTTTGAAAAACACAGAGCTGCTAACTGTTCTTTTCTGTTTCATTCAAAATCCTGAGAATGTTTACAGCACACCCTACTGCCTCAGCTGAATGAGGAAAATCAGGGGATACACAAAAAATTCTTTAATCACACACCTAACAAAAGCAAACAGCACTTGTCCTACATAACACACATCTTTCCCACTAGAATTAATCCAAACTTCCAAATAATTCCATTCCTGTTCAAAGACATAACTCACTTGGATGATTTTCAGACGTGCCAAGCAGCTCTTCTACAGATATCATATCAAATTAGAATTACAGATTTGACAATTTATGGTTGTGCCACTCTGACAAGAAACTTTTGACATCTAATGAGATAGAGCAGAGCAAGAGAAAGAGTCTAGTAAAATCTACATGCTTCTTTCTTTTCTTGATCTCCAGTTCCTTTTCTTTTTGCTATTGTCCCATTGTTCAATGACTCTTCTTGCTCGTTTGCATCATGGGTTAATCAGCATCTGGGTGGAAAATCTTCCAAACTCTTTCTGGCTACACAATTATAACATTTCTTTAACTGCTGAGAGCTCTCTCAGCACACTCAGGCCAAAATCAGCTGCATTCCAATTAGTGTGAGCACACTGGGCAAGTGCACATGGTAATAATACACATGTGGGAGTGAACAAGAGCTGCAAACCCGGCAAATAAGTCTTTTAAAAGTACATTTTTTACAATGTGACTATTCAAGTGATAAGACAGCTTGTAAGAGAGCTAACACAGAAGACAAGATCAAGTTTGCTCTGGCATTATGTCCTGCTTACACTCCAGGGAAAGGAGATTAAGCATTCCTTTCTTGGCCACAGCAGTGCAGCCAACTTTTGAGAGGAAATAAAAATAAGACTCTGGCCAAGCTGGGGTTTCATCCTCTGTGCATCCTGCAGGACTACACCCCTGCTTCAGCTGCTCTTTTAACAGTGGGTTTCAACCTTTCCCACACATGAGCACCACTGCAATTGCCACCACTCTGCACCTTCAACACCTGCCAGCCCACAAACATTTTTCTCTCCTCCTGGTAAAACATCTTTTTCCCCTGGGACTGCTTTCAGGCACACAGCCCCCTCCCAGAGCCAGTGCTTATCCTAAAGCAAGTGTTTCAAAAAGCTCACAGGGAGCACAAAGGAATCAGGCACTCAAAAGGAAGAGAATCCCTTTACAACACTAGACATATATTGGTATTGGTAATAAATTAAGCACATCCCAAACTAACTGCACCTATCATTATCTGAGTATCAGAAATAAAAACAAAACCATTTCTCTAGATATTTATGCATTGCTATTATAAAATTGCATTGCAGCCCTGCACTTTAAATTATTTTATATACTTTTTATTGCTTTAACAAATGTGTTGAAATTTTTAAAATTTGCTTAATTTGAATATTATGTTAATACAACTATTCAGCACCAACAGGTGCTATTTTTTTCCTCATATGCAGACTGATGACTGCTTAAAAATAGCTATGCTTCTGCTAAGCCCCACAGCGTGAAAACATGTTCTGTATTAGACAACAGCATGATGGAAACATCTTACTCTGGTAAAAGTCTGGTTATTTCCCCATGGCCACTATCAGTGTTACTAGACCTATTTATTAGACTGTTATCTCATTGCTGCACTATGTAAAAATCAGTTTTTCAGGGTCTCTGCTGCTCTGCTTTGTTCTGCTGTATTTTGCTACTGCTTTTGTCTGTAACAGAAAGAGTGCCTCATTTATCATTCCTTTACCAAATGCTAGACTATTTCCCTGTTGTGCGCAGCGCAGCTTCCACAGAGGTACAGCTTTCCTGTAAACGCACATCGCTAGAGGCTGACTCTGCCTGTAGCCGTGTCTAAAGAGCCTGTGAAAGACAGCAGCGGCTAAAAGTGCTGAGCCTTTAGCTCAGAGCAGAGCCCTCAGCACACAGCAGGGCCCTCGGCACACAGCAGGGCCCTCAGCCCTCAGCAGGGCCCTCGGCACACAGCAGGGCCCTCGGCACACAGCAGAGCCCTCGGCACACAGCAGGGCCCTCAGCACACAGCAGGGCCCTCAGCACACAGCAGAGCCCTCAGCACACAGCAGAGCCCTCAGCTCCCCGGCGCCGCGGGCCCGCTCCGGCCCCGCCCGCAGTCAGGGCTCCGGCCCCGCTCCGAGCAGGACACGCTCCGTGACAACACCCCGCAGAAAACCAGCGGGGCTCGAGGAATTCCTGCTGATTTTAGGGCAAATAACGGGAGGCCAGCGGCCGTCGCGCCCCAGCCGGCTCAGAGCTGCGGCTCCGTCTCTCAGCAGAGCTGTGCCCGCCTGGCTCCGTGTAACGCCAGGGTGTCATGAATGTGATCCGTACCCTCGGCTTCTCAGACAGCAGCGCCGGGCTCAGGTGCCACGGCAGCGGAGCCTCGGCACGCAGCGCCCCGACTGCCCCGGTCCCCCCCGGCCGAACTGCCCGAGCCCCGCGGGCGGACAGGCCCCGCACTTTCCCCTCTGGCACATCCGCGGCCGCCCCCGCCTCAGCCCACCGGCTGCGAGGGTCGCCGAGCATGACGGCAGCCCTCACCCAGCCCCGAGCCCGCCCCTCCCGGGGAACAGGCGGCTCCCGGAGCCCCGCCGCCTCACCAGGGGAACGCGGCCATCTTGCGCCCGGTCACATGACAGCGCGCGCCGGCCGCAGCTTCCGGCGGCAGCTCCGCCCCGCCCGGAGCGCGGGAAACGCCTGAGGGCGGGCGAAGAAACGGCACAGAAAGGGCATTTAATGTTCAAAATTCAGAGTTTATTGTGCAGAATGCGTTAAGTAAAAAGCGAGACTGGTGAAAATGAAACAAAGTACAAAAATAAATAGACTTCTGTAATGGTATCACAATTCCACACAAAATAAAAAGATAAATATGTATAAATACAAAACAGCAAGTACAAAACCAAATTCTGGCACTTGCCAAGAGAAAGGCCTCATGAAAGTTTAAAAAAAAAAAAAAAAAAAAGCAAACAAAAAAAGACCCTTGTGCTATAATGCTTTATTACACACTGGAAACATGCTTGAAGAACAAGAGGTTTAGATGTGAAACCCTAAGAGAAGGGAAACATTCATTTCTACTAACACACTAAACCTATCTGTGCATCAACATATTGCCTATGCTAATAATAAATACAGCACATAAAACATCCATTAAAAGCATCAATCTTCAGTGCTGCCATGTCAACAGCACCTTCTGTCATCTGTGACACAGGTTACTCTTGTCCCTGTAAATTCCTCCCCTCTCGAGATGTTTCCCACTCCTAAGGAGAGCTGGGAACTAAAACACAGCTTTGTTGCCCACCGGGTGAGCAGGAAACTTGCCTCGGGCATTTTCCGTACAACTGTGATTGTAAAGCACCAGAGCATTTGTATGAAGGAGGCAGGAATTGCACTGGTGTAAAGCGTCCTGTTTACACCATGAGGGGAGCCCCCGGCCCCGGGCTCTCAAACAAACGAGCAGTGCCATTCCTCAAGGTGCTGGGGCAGTTTCTGCCATTTTGCAAGCACGCAGTTTGGTAACTTAGTGCCTGGTATGGCACAGCTGTTCTGAACAGCAGCACGAGCTGCAGAGGACAGACTTGGTGGCAGACGAAAGCCACAGGCTGGTGCCAATCCACTCATCACTGCCCATGAAATAAGTGTCCTCATCCCATTATTAATGTTCCTCTTTCATGCTATTTACCACAATGAAATTTTCAGTTGGTCTTTCTTCTCTTACATTCATGTCAACACATTACAAAGCCTCCAAAGTTCAGTGTGTTGTATTGTATTGACAATTAACAAAATATAGCCTAATTTACATTCTGGCAGTCAGTTCTCTACTGCAAAGATTATACAGCTGAGCTTTTCTCTCTAGAACTTTGTTAATATCATGTCTCAAGTTCATTAAAAGAAGGTGGAGAATTATGCTCCACTCCAGTTGATAGATAATATCCATCAGTTGGAAGACTAAGGTAGAATATGACCATGATCTTTTGATATTAGATATTCATAAATATGAAAGTGTTGGGATTGGTAGGGATTCCCCACCTGCAGAAATCATTACTTCAGTACAAAGGGCCTGTTAGGTCACACAGCAGAAGATAAACTGCTCAGAAGAACTGCCACTGTCATCAATTAAATGTAACATATCTGAATGACTATTACAGACTGAAATAACTGTTTAAGTCTGCAATGGTAAAACAGTTAAAACTGTACCTTCTGAAGCTTTTGTAAAACATACACATCTCCATGCTGGACAGATGATGTTTCCATAAGAAAATGCAGTAGACAGCAGGGCAATAAAAACCCAAGGCTCTTTTCAGTACAAAGGTTTGATCTACCACACATATAAATGCACATTTTTGGTTTGATCAGTGAAAGTTTGTCCATCAGCCCAACAGTGAATTTGGACCACATCTGTCCAGCTCAGCAGAAATGCAAAACATTTGGTACAAGGCCTTTAGTACTGAAATTGAGCTAATCTCATTCCTACAGAAAGTACATTCAGAACTGCTGCTGACAAATTCACTGACTTGAAAGCTCACTTTTGTTTAAATTAACTTTGGGGGTTTTTTTCACATTTAGCTGCTTCAACTTTATGGAATGAAAATGAATATATACCCAAGACTTACTTATGGTGGCACTCACACATAGAAATTGCAATTTAAGTAATGCAAAAAGCATATGTCAGACACTAGAATTAGAAAGTGTGAAAAAGTTACAAATTACCTTCATGTTGCCCCGTGCTAGTCTTTAAATAAACAAGATTATGAATCTTTTATATATTAATACTAGTCTGTACACAAGTTCTAACATGCAATTTTCCCACAAGCATTAGAGCTTCAAAGCAGCTTCAATATGATTGTGTTATGTGTCATCTGAAAATAACAAAGTAGGTTTAAGATGTCTAAATATACATCTATGTAAAGAAGATGCAATATTAAAAATCAGTGCTGACACAGCCATCATTAAAACATGGCCATTTTATCCCAGGGAATGTTGTCTTCTTAAATTATCACAACATTTGGCTTCTTTCTTTGGGTTCTTCCTGCATATGCTCCTAAAAATAAGTAGAAACGTTACCACATTACAATTCATAGTAATGGTTTTTGAAACAGGATTATCCAACAAATATAGCTGGAAAAAATCAGGACAATTTTTTTTTAAGCAGTATTATGTATTCAGTGACTACTTTTTAAATGACAGTTTTCATTATGGTACACCCCAAAACCCTTCTGAAAACTACCTATAGGTTTAAATGTAATGACATTCTATAGAACTGCCTTACTTGATAACTATTCCATCTTCTTTTGCTATTCTAAAACAACTACAACCACAATTTACAATTTTTTAAAAGAACTACTGCTTAACCAAGGTAGATGAAATGGCTAATTAAGTTTAACTATGCCATATATTACTTTAAAAAAATAAATTAAAAAATACTTGAATACTTAACATAACTCTTTCCTTTTGTCAGATTAATTAAAACAAGAGGATCCCATATGTCAATAAGAGAAGAGAATTAGAGGTGCAGAATGAAAATCATCAGGCAGAGCCCTTATAAAAGGAAGGATGCTTAAGTAAAAAAAATAATAAATGAACAAAGAAATCAGTCTTTCCAGAAGGAACAAGTATATACATAATTATATTTAAAAATCCATATTATACTATACATAGCACAAGTATCTTCCAGTAATGAAGGCTCAGCACTGCAGGCTGCTAAGGAGTAGCACAACTCAGCATTCTTTAGGTCCAAGCAGTTATCAAGAAAGTGCAGCAGTGTGAGCAAACATTTACACAAAGCAGTGAAAACCATATCACAGGGTGCAGAGCAGTGGGAATGGAAGACAGCCATGGAAGAGAAATGAGCACCAGGCAGTAAATGAAGGTGACAAAGGAAGTGCCAGTCCTTTTTGGGCTCTTTGGTTACTCC